TCCGTGTGTGTGTGTGTGTGTGTGTGTGTGTGTGTGTGTGAGAGAGAGAGAGAGAGAGAGAGAGAGAGAGAGAGAGAGAGAGAGAGAGAGAATGCACACACAAAGTAAAATACAGGTTCAAAATTTACAAATTATATCACAGTCACAGTACTGGGCAATTTTTGTGATCAGCATTGTTCTGACAGACTGATTCCCACTCTGCATCTGTATGGTGAGTAAGCACCACTGAGGTTGATGGAACCCATGACAGGATATAGGTCAATCCTGTGTTGACCCCTTGAAATGTGCCTGCCAGAACAGAAATTGGGTGATGCAGGAACGCCATGCAACGTACGTCCCTGGTGTGTTCTTTTCCACCTTGTAATTTGATGCTGATTCTAAAGCTAGAGTTGCTCCCCTCCTATGATTAGTGATTTTTATGTCTCTCCATGTCAGCTCATTTTTCCCCCAAGGCAGCATTCCTTTACTAATTGTCACACCCTGTTACTACTCTCTTGCCCAAACAGGCTGGGTTATAAAAGCAAAAGGTAAGCATTAAAGTAAGATTAAGACAAAAGCACAAGATATGAATACAGAGTGATTCCCATTGAACTTCTGCCTTTCCTTTTTATTTATTATTATTTTATTATTATTATTACATTTTTATACTGCCCATAGCCAAAGCTCTCTAGGCAGTTGACAGCAATAATCATAGAATCATACACTCAAGTCACCCATCCCACTTCTGCCCAGGCCTGACCTTGCTTAGCTTCCAAGATTAGGCAGGATCAGGCACTTCAGGCTACTACACTCAATCTCTAAGATTTCATAGAATCACAGAATAGGAGAGTTGGAAAGGTCCAGTGATGCCATAATTTCAGTCCCTGCTCCACGTAGGATTCAAAAATAATGCACCCCCAAAAGATCTTGAATGCCTCCCTAAGTAATTGGTTCCATTGTCGTATTGCTCGTTAGGAAGTTTTACCTGCTGTTCAACTGGAATCTGGCTTCCTGTCACTTGAGCATGTTATTCCATGTCCTGAGCTCTGGGTTGATCAAAAAGAGAAGACGAAATTTTGGCCTTCTTCTGTGTGACAAGTATTGCAAGAGTGCTTTCATGTTTCCCTTCAGTCTTCTCTTCTCAAGGCTAAATGTACCCAGTTCTTCCAGCCTCACCAAAAAGGGCTTTGTTTTCAGTCTCCTGATCATCTCTGTTGCCCTCCTCTGAAATTTTTCCAGTTTATCTGCAACTTTCTTAAACTGTGCTGCCCAGAACTGGATACAGATAAGGCCTTAGCAGTACTGAGGAGGTGAGATCTGGTACTTCATGTGATGCAAAACTGATAGTTCTATAAATGCAGCCTAAAGCAGCACCCCTTCCCTGCCTTTTGCAACCGTATCACGTTATTGACTCACACTCAGCTTGCCACGTACAACAATTCCAAGACCTTCTCACATGCCGTACTGCTGAGTCAAGCATTCCCCACCCATGTAGTAACTGTGCATTTGCTTTCTTTTTCCTAGGTGCAGAATTTGGCATGTGTCTGTATACAGTTTCATTCTGTTGCTTCCAAACTATCAAGAGCATTTTGAAATTTGTTTCTGTATTCCAGGATATTATTTATTTATTTATTAAAACATTTCTATGCCGCCCCATTCGCCGAAGCCTCAGGGCGGCTCACAACATAAAATATAATACATAAAACAAATTAACAATATAAAATAAGTTGCCCTGACCAGATAAAATAAGCAAATAATATTAACAATTAAAATGACGTTTAAATAAAAAGGTCTTCGCCTGGTGCCGAAAAACAAATAACGAATTAGTTATCCCACCTAATTTCTCTCCTCTGTCTTTTACTATATCATCTGAAATTGGATAAATATTTCCTGTACCTCCTCATCCAAAGCATTATTAGAAAAGTTGAAGATCACTGGACCTGTGGCTGAACCCTGCAGTATCCCACGCTTTACTTCTCCCAAAGTTGAAGGTGCCATTGATAAGCACTGATTTGATTCTGATTCTGTAGCCAACTGTGGATCCACCTGATAATTGTTCCTGCTAGCTCACTTTAATCAGGAGATCATGGGGCCCTTTGGCAAAAGCTTTGCCAAAGTCAGGATAGATTATGTTCACAGCTTTCCCACTGTCCACCAGAAAAGTTACCTGATCAAAAAATGAGATCTGATCAGTCTGGCCGGATTTGCTCTTGACAAATCCATATTTGGCTTCTAGTAATCCCTGCATTGTTTTCAAGGTATTTGCAAACTGGCTGCTTTATAAGCAGCTCCAGAAGTTTCCCAGGATTAATGTCAGATTAACTGGCATAGTTTCTAGGATCCTCCTTTCTTCCCCTTGAAGACAGGGACAACATTAGTTCTCATCCAGTCATCAGGCACTTCACCCATCCTCCACTTCTCAAAGATAATAAGCAGTGATTCTGCCAATTCCTTTATTACTCTAAGATGCTGTCCATCAGGCCCTAGAGATTTGAACTCATTCAAAGTTAATAGGTGTTCCTTGACCATTTGCATTTCAATTTCAAGCAATCCTGTCCCTCCAGGTTGTACTTCATCCTTATAAGGTTGTGCTTCATTCTTATTGGGTTGTTCATAGTCCCTCTGTGGGAAGAAGAGAGAGCAAAACCATCTGGAAGTAGCAGTAGAAGACAGCTAGCGCTAATTGAAGGACATCTGGAGTTGTGAACATCGCTAGTAGAGTAACTGTTAAGTACCTCCTCTCTTCACCATGTCTCGATCCTAAATTAATTCACATCAATATGAAACCCACCCTTCTCTTCCATTGCATTTTGATGCCAGGCTGTAGTGATAGTAGAACCCACAAGTCACAGAATCCCCCCAATCTTCCCAGACACTTTGGGAGTCTGAGACTCTGTGAGGAAATCATGTTACTATGAACCTTAAAACTAAGGGGAATTTATATAGGCTAGGCCACAGAGCTTCTAAAGTACTGGCAGAAAAAAGCTGACTGGATTTCCTGTGAGAAATAATGCGATAAATAAGAATTGGAGGAGTTACCATTTCAGGCTCTTTTTTTGAATATGATTTAATATTGCCCCTAATAGAGATACTCCACTTGCTAGAAGGTCTGAAAACAAGAAATATGTACCACTTCCCCTGAAAAAGAGAAGCATGGATTATGCACCAAATGCTAGAAAGCTGAAATTTGGAACACTCGTGGCCCCAAATGCCCCGATTGCTAGACAAGCTTGAAAAGGGGATAAAAAGCAGCATGCTGGCACAAAGCAAGCCCCATTTTGTAGGAGGAAATGTTAGATTATGAGAGTTTCTATTGCACCTTCCTAAGATTGAATTAGCATTATGTGGATTTTCCATATTTCTTTCTCTGTTTTAAAGGATCAGCTATTTTACTTTTGCCTTGTTTTGGAAATAACAGTACAGCAGTTTCTGAGGCAATGTAAACTAGAAGCCAAAATGTTTATCTCATGGTTTAAAAAAAATGGGTTCTTAAGAAATACTCCAGGTTGGCAGAATGCTCAGTAGGCATTTTGTAATGTCTTACAGAATTCACTGCAGCTTGGAGCTTATTTAATTTAGTGGGTGAAACCAAAGCTTACAAGTCATATGTCCTATTACACTTGTCAATGAACACTTTTGTAGCAAGAGATAAATCAAAAGCATATAGGCAACATTAGTATTTTCATGGTCAACAAGCTGGATTCTAAATCTTATACAGACACACTGAATTGCTACAGTGAGCAAGGCTTTCTGACCCCGATCCGATTGGTTTTCTCAATATATGAAATATTTGTTTTAAAAGCATTATAGAACAGATGATTTATGCAACTTTCCATTAAAATAGAAACTTTATGGGTTGTGGATTTATTATGAGTCAAAAATTCGGGGGCCTGTGGTTCATTGCCTTGGTTCTTGCAATAACTGCAATAATACACAATTTAAATGTTACCTTTTAAATCAAGTGATTATTTTAAAATCAAGTGGATTTACTTAGTTAGAATTTGATGGATGCTTGCTGCCAAAAAGTCCTGGAAACTGAAAGTTAATCTTACTGGCATTTCCTCAAATATTGAGTCCTACCCTAGTTTTCTGGAATCTTATTCGGGTTCCTAAGAGGGACTTAGTATTAACTAGTTTTGTATGCAGCACAACCCTTCCCATGCTTCCAGTATGGTGCTTCAGTACAAAACCAAATGTGTGGAACTACTGAATGTGGAAGTGTTGCAATCTTTGTATCCCAGCCATTTCTCAATGGTTATGTTAAATCCAGAGTTGTTTCCTTTCTTTTTTTCATAATTCCCTGACCCAACCATTTAGTGGATGGAGAAACCTGGTCACTTCATCTTTATCAAATGTAGATTTCCAGCCAGTTTGAGTGTAGTTGACATCATCCAGGGGTATCTCAGATTTCTTTGTACCTGAGCTTTTGGTGGGAAGGTGGGCAGTCCATGAGGCAATAGGAAATCGTGAGTACCTTCCTGCTTGCTCGGCCTGCATCTGGAGAGCGACTGGTCTCCCCGACCAGTGCAAGGCAGCAGTTCCCAGAGAAAACAAGGAACGCCTTGTCAGATGGGATGCAGGCAATGTCCATGAGCCAGCCCTGTGTTGGTGGAAGCATGCCCAAGAAGCAGGGGATTCCCATCCATGCATCTGCAGAATGTGTAAACTTGGCAGCCTAAATTGCCACTAAAAATAGAGCACAGCTACATGCAACTTCCAGGTTTAAAGGCAGCATGAGACTGAAGACCAGCAGCTGGGAGTGGCCTAGGAGGGGTTCAAGCCCTGTTTGGGGGCTTCCCAGAAGCATCTGGTTGGTGGACCTTTGGGCTGATCCAGTGGGGTACTTTTGTTTTCTAGGTTTCCTTCTTAAAGCTGCCCCATGAAGAATAAGAATTGGATGCAGTCTCCTTATCTCCTCACATTCTTTTCTGGATTGGGTTTCTTCCTTTGTAGACTAACACTCAGTCTCTGTACTTTTCACTTTCTTTCAGTGCACACTCAAGGATACGTCTCTGAAGAAAATGACAACATTCACTGCAGGAAAACCATCCCCTAGCAAAAATGGTAATCTTGTTGCCCTTTTCATCTTGCTTCTTTGGGGTAATTTAAAAGGTAGGGAGAAATAATATAACCTCCCCACCCTTTTCCCAAAAACATTTGAAATACACAGATTGACTGAAATGGTTTCTAGCCATTTATATTTTTTGATAAATAGGATTTCATATTCAGCTCCGTGATTATTCTTATTTATAGATTATAGGTTATTCATCCATCTATTTGGTTTATAGATGGGTGGAAATGCATCCAAGTACTACTGCTCCTTAACACTGAAGAGACTTGGAATTACTTCTGTGTAAAAAGGTACTTAAATGCCAAGCTTATTTTGAAGGCCTTCTCTAATCCAGATGCTGAAACACCCACCACCCTAAGCTTGAGATATCGTTTGCAGTGCATAGTCATCCTCTCACAGGCTGGATGCATTTGGAAATAACATGCAGAAGCTATAATAGAAAACAGTCCCTTCAGGATGGACAAACTTGTCCCATATAGCTCAAATTAAACTTAGTGGGTTGTAGCCAGTTTGAGTCATATTTGGAGTATCAGTGGAACTCAAAATCATCAGGGACACTGAATCCAGTAGGACTCGAGTTTGGTGTTGTTTCATGCCATCAAGTTGTCTCTAAGTTCTGGTGACCCGGTGAATAGAAGTCCTCCAGAATGTCTTGTCCTTGACAGGCCTGCTCAGCTCTTCCCTGCTCAAGGCTGAGGCTTCCTTCATGGATGCAATCCATTTCATATTGGGTCTTCCTCCTCATGAATGTCTTCTCCAGTGAGTCTGGCCTTCTTGCAATGAAAGCTTTACTTTGGTCATTTTTACCTCCAAGGACTAAAGTTAGTCTTTTCCAATTTTAGTCCCATTTATTTCCATGCATCTTGCTAACTTAAAACCTATGAGTAAGTCTGAATCTAACCCGCTGATAGGTTAAAGGTGCATTGCCTTTAAGTAGCTGCTTCATGTTATTAATGCATGGATAGGTGTTGACATTGTTCAACTGCTCTTCTTGATTTTCCTTATCTTGTTTTTTGGCAGCTTGTTGTCAGGTTTATCTTGGATCTGAACATCAGATCCTCAGTATTGCATTGTAGAAGGAACAGAAATAGTACCTTCCATCTTAGCTTATCTGGCCTGGTTCACAAATGCATGTCTTACCACTTGTTTCTTCACTGAGTGACTCACAGTTAAGTACGTGGTTCTGTAACTGAAGCAAAGAGGTGGAATGAAAATTCTAACTGTAGCAAATGATGGATCATCCATGCCTGCAAGCCATCACTTAATGCACCAGTTAAGTGGTGTCCATGTGTGTGTGACAGAGAGAGAGAGAGCTCGATGGACACTTTGTTGGTTCTTCCTCAAAGTGGTTGGAGATCATTTTCTAGTGCCTGACTGCAACAAAAACAGGTCAGGATTGTGAATGGATGAGTTGATTCATGAATTCATTTGTTGGTTCATTTTAAAAGCACTCATAGCCTATCTTTCTGCTTCATTTAAAAGCATCCGATGTGGCTTACATTTGCAATCAATATAAAATAATATTTAAAAGCAAGCTAACAAAAAGGAGAGGGCAAATAACAGAATAGCACCAAGGGGCACAGACTAAACATAGAATCATCCCAAGGCCAACCAGAACAGAAATGTCCCCGGCTTCAAGTGAAAAAGCATAATGCAAGGGGACAGACGGCTCTCCTGAGGTGCGGTCTCTGGACAGTGGCAGAAAAGGCCTGCTCACCGGGCATCGAAGGTTAGATTAATCTGTTGTGTAACATCTCTCATATCCTTGTCTATGCCCTAATAGATACGAAGAATGCGTCTCTTGCAGTGAAGAGCAGACAACAAGTTATTAACGAGGTCAACAAGCGAAGGACCCTGTTACAGGATAACAGCTGGATAAAGAAAAGACCAGAGGATGAAAAGTAAGGGAAGAAGCGCATCACCTGAGCATTTTCTTGGAGTTACTGAAACAGCTGCATGGGGCACATTAGAAAATGGCACGGAGGATGAATCTAGCAGTGGTTCCTAACTACAATAACTGAATTTAATTTTCCTGTTCAAGGAAGCCTTAGGGATGGCATGAGGCCCTCCTTGGAAGGTTGATTGTAAGCAGGCAGTCTGATTGGCTCAACCCTTGCTTTGATCCAGCAAGACTCATCTTTTATCTTTCAATTTTTAAAAGCAGTGCCAAGGAGCCACTGACCCAAAAGCCTTCCTCATGACCACTCCCCCTCTGCTCAGCTGGTGCTAAAAATTATCTCAGTGGGGAAGAGGGGACCTACGACCCCTGCTCAACCTTTTCCCCTGGGTGCATTTTGCATATGGCTGGGTGAATTTGTGTGTGTGCCTCTGGCCTCAACCATTTCTGACTCTCCGCAGTGCTTTTCCCTGGGGAATGTGGCATTTGGGTTCTCCATTCTGTATGGTCTTCAGACCCTTGACCCAAAGCAAGGATCATCTCCTTGGATGAGAGTGGGCCATTTGTGGCCCTTCAGGTGTCTTGGTTTAGAGATCTCAGCCTTGTTCACCACTGGCTAGGCAGACTAGCCTGACGGGAATCGTGGCCCTGGAAATGTTTCGGCCTGCATGTTGCCCATCCTTGCACCAGACAAACAAGTTCTCATTAACTGCCACAGGAAAGTGTTATATTCTGCAGCGACTGGAGAACCTTTTTGCTTCCAAGATTCCTGCCAGAGCTTGTTCCAATTGCCACAGCTACAAGGTTCAAAGAGAAGAGGATTGGGAAGCACGATACAGAGACGTGTGTGTGGTTTGGGGTGTGATCTTAACAAAGCTCTCAGGGAAAAGCACTGCACATCAAAGGGAAATATCAAAGTCTCACAGAAGAGGTTTAAATCAAACATGGGTCGCTCAAGAGATGGAATGTTGAAGGTTGCTTTAGTGAAAGCTTTCAGGGCCTCGTCTCTTGCAAGGCATGTAAACTTCACAGGGCTTCTCTTCAGATGGCAGTTCTAAGAATGAATCAAAGTAGAAGAGATCTGGAATGTACCAGTTTAATCTTCATCGTTCTTACTGAATCTGTTACAACCAGTTTTTTTACACCCAATGGTTAGGTTTACTTCATGATTTCTGGGCTGTGTTCCAGGGAACCCCAGGGTGCCTCCGAACCTTATCAAGAATTCCTCAGTGAGTCGATCAATTAACACGGATGAGGTTAATTGAGAGACAGCTTGCCACAGTTACCTAACTTCTCATCCCATGCAATGCACAGTCACAGGGAGTGCCGAATCTGCAGGAAAGCAAGTTCTGTGCTCATGCGATGCAACAGGGAGGCCGAGAGAGCTTGGCTGGTAACTTGCTATTTAGTACACATTGCTCAGAAAGAGCCCAGGGAGTCTAGCAACCTTTACAGAACGCAGCACGTCACATCGCATCAAAATCATCACTCTAGCATTATATAACCATCAAAACATCCATTGATAGATAAACAAATGCAGCAGTTGCCTATACCTCCATGGCTCAGATAAATAGGTACTTACCTGATGCCTAAATAACAGCAGTGTGTGAGACAGCCAAATCTATACTGGCAAAGACTGCTGGGGTGCTGCCACCAAACAGGCCCTGCCGCTTGGAGCAGCGCTACAAGCCGCTTTCCTCAAGCGCGGTGCAGGCAAAGCCTCCATGAGGCCCTTCGGGTGGTTCCCCACGAACCTGGGAATCCACCCAGAGTTGCGCTCTTTGTGCACGAGCTCCCAGTCTGTGGCATCCCCCCACAGTAAACGCCAGGCAGGCCGCAGTGGTGCCCTGTGCTCAGGATCTGCGGAAGGCATGCTTATTTCAGCAACCCTTCCTCGAGCACAAGAACAATCATGGTTTTATTGTTGTGGTTGGTTAAAAATAATGCCCTTCCGCATTTTGCTGTGTTTTCCCATTGGCCTTGACTTGGGTATGCATGCTGTAAATAAATATAAATATCAAACGCTTGGTCTGTTGCAGCACTGATGAGAACTATGGCAGAGTGGTCCTTAATCAATACAAATCGCAAGACGGTTTGCACAGGTACAGTCACATGTTCCCCACCCCCGTTATCTGAAGTGTGGCGCGTTATGCAGGCGATACATCTCTTGTTTGGTCTGCTTAATAATTTGTAATGAGCACCTGCTCTGTTGTACTGGAGCAAAGTCAAGCCTTTGGCTTAATTAGCAGTCAGGATCACTTCGATTGATAGTGATGAAATATTGCTTTGGTCTCAAGTTTGAGAGAGTCGTGAAATCTGATGTACACAGTCAATATATAGTTCTGCCTTTCAAGTATATAAATGGATTTGATATGCCTGCTGTTTCCTAAAGGTACCAAAAAAGATGAAAAGTCAATTCGTAACATGATATCCCATATTAATTTGGTAGCCAAATCCTGTTTTTAAGGTGGTGAAGAAATGAAAAATAATGTTATTCTCCCTCTTGAACCTTTTGATTGTCCATTGGCTGTTGTCAGTTTGAATGTACATGGATCTTAAAGTGATTTCATTTTATTTTCATATCTTGTTTTCATATTTAAAAAAGTAGAAATAAAACAAGTCATAGAATTCATTAGAATCATCCTGATCTAGAATAAATGGTGCTAGTTTGGAGAAGATAACTGGAAGAGTATTTACTGCTGAGAATATTGTTAGGTATACCTCCAGGGTTCATTCCATTCTTATTCAGCGTTGTTGTTGTTGTTCAGTCACAAAATCATGTCCAACTCTTTGCAATTCCATGGACAACATTCCTCCAGGTTCTCCTGTCCCCCCAGAGTCCCCCCAGTCCCACACCCACCTCCCTAGTGACCCCATCCAGCCACCTCAACCTCTGCCATCCCCTTCTCCTTTTGCTGTCAATGGTTCCCAGCATCAGGGTCTTTTCCAATGAGTCCTTCATTCTCATAAGGTGGCCAAAGTATTTGAGCTTCAGCTTCAGTCCTTCTAAGGAACAGTCAGGGTTGATTTCTTATTCAGCATGGTCACACTGGAACCAGTGATTCATTTAAGACATGGCTAACTTCTCATTGGTTTTTGGGGTTCCTTTAAGTATGTGTGTGTCTGGATCCAACCCATAACAGACAACTCTCTTGAGTTGCTGGAAGTATGGAGATAATTCATTGGTGATTGTTTGTGATATTTAGTCAAAGTAAACATCTTACGTAATAAATATCCTCAGTATATCCCCTCAACTGAAATATTAGTCTTTTAATTTATTTTTGAATTCAAAAGATCATTCTTAAATGCCAGATGTCACTCAGCTGGAGGATATTGGATACTTCAGTGACTGAAAGCCTTTAAAGTCATTAAAATACCTCTTCAGCTATCAATAAAACTGTAATTAATTTTCCTCAATCACAGGACCACAGATGAAAATGATGATCAAAAAGCTTTGCTTAGCCGATTCAGATCTGATACTACTTTAGACAGGTAATGGTTTTGTATCAGCTACTTTACTGGTTCTCATTTTTTAACACGTAGATGTGACAGGACATCTTGGATGGCTTTAAACCCACCTGGTAGGCCTATAATTTCATTCAGATTTGATTACTGTGCTATGTGGAGATATTGGTATCATGTAACAATTCATATTACATTTGGGCCCGTCAGACCTGGGTTCAAAATTCTCCATTTGGTCATGAAGTACACATGCTGATACCTATTGTATTAAATGGATATGCCTCATTTTTTCTACTAGTTTCAGGGGATTAATCTCTTTTAATGATACATCCAAGCAGCTTACTATCTTAGCTTCTGGGGTTGGTTTACCATATTTATAATTTTGAATTCATTAACAGACCTGATCTTTAAGTTCTGAACTGAAAGTTTGCTTACTGTAGTATTTGCATCTTTAGGTTATTTTGTGTTTTAATTTGTTAAGAGTATTTATAGACCATTTTCTATTTACAGTTAATTATAAAACAATAAATTGGCAATGCTAGTCGCTTTGGGATTCCTTCTGGAGGGTAAAGCAAGTTGGAAATAAATTATGAGACTGATGATGAAAATTGTTCCGCTGCAGAACAAGGGCTGTGTGAGCTATAAGACTGGCAGGGTTTGCTTATTTACCACACAGACCTTCAGATGCATATTCAGAAGTAACTTCCTGGTACTGGTACATATGTGATTGCATTTGCTACCTGAAATGTTTTTCAGCAGAGACTATAAAATCCATAAAGGCCCGGAAGGGACTTGTTCTTTACTGTAATGCAAACCTAATGGATTAATGAAATCAATGTTAAGCACTGGTCCCATCACGTCTGCAGTTTCACATAATGGCTGTAAATCCCCAAACTGTGTTCCGCCAGGAATTGTATATGATGGACATCCTTACATTGTACCACAGTTCAAAAAAAGGTTGTGTATGGAGATGGTGGTGTGGAAACATGTTCCACATGCACAAGCAATATGGGATTGCTTTGATTGCAGAGCCATTTTATATCTGCATTAAAAAACTTGTCAAAGTATTTGACATTTTCCTCTGCCATGCAAGACTCGTTTATAAAAGAATGTACAATAATCTTGGGACATTTAATAATTCATTGATTTTGAAAAACTTAATTCAAATAACTCTTTCTGCAAACTTGAACCTTTTTCAAAGAAATAAGCAATAGCATTATAATTGAGTCAGCGAGTATTCTATTCTGTTCTCATTAGCATTGTAAAATTGCATGCAGCTGCAGCTGCAAACTTTTTCTGCTTTGCTAGGAAATAGTAGATGTTGACATTTTAATTCAGACAGTCTTTTAAGATAAGACAGTTTCTACTCTTAGTGAGAACTCACTTTGCTACTTACCTTTATTTAGGGTTTCTGGCAACATTGATGCTGACAAGGCAAATAAGCTTCCTGGTTTAGATAGCAGAGCAAGTAAGAGGTATGTATGAGCCAGGCATTTGAATTATTGGTTAAAGGGTGCTCCAGCTTTGATAGAAATCAAATAAAATGCAACCACACATATTCTTCCTGATGTGTAACCACACACTGACGCTGACATGGGAAACAGAACATCATCTAGCTGACCTGCAGGATTCAGAACTTCAGAAAGGATTCATGCTGCATGAAATTGGTCTGGTGGAGGAACAGAAGGCTACCAAGGTAACCAGTAAACCAAACCTTATGGGAAGCACCAAGGCTGAGCCGTGCCTACCTTGATTCTAACATGACTGGTCAGTGTTTTGCGCATGATCCACAATGGCATCTGAGTGACATAATAGCAAGCGGCTTGTGTATTTCACTTTCCTTTTTCCTAGCATAGCCTCTACCATTTTTAACTCAGGCTGTCACACTTCAGGCCCATCATGAGAAGGCAAAACTCCCTGGAGAAGATGAGCTTGCTAGGGAAAGTCAAAGGTGGAAGACCAAAAGAAAGACCGACTATGAGATGGGTGGAGTCCATGAAAGAGGCCACAGCCTGGAATTCACAAGAGCTGAGCAAGGCTGTAATGGATGTGACACTTTGGGGATGTTTTGCTCATAGGTTGGAGATGACTTGACAGCACATAATAATTAATTTAATGGTGTGTCTGAAGCCCAGCAAATTTTGGCCAGCCTTAACTGAAGGTGGCTTGTTTTAATAACCACAATTAGGATTAACCACAGTTTAGGTCATGGAGATGATGCTAAATTGTGGTTCATTGATCATGGAAGTAAAACCTTCCGGTTTCCTCACAGCCACTCTGGAATGTAAGACCCCAAGGTTTGCCTGACCTGGTAAATTGTCATTTGTGTCCAGCCACACCCTGCTTCTCCTTTTTGCTCCAGTTGTGCCTCAGCAGAAGGTTGATGGAGCTGTACGTTATGTAGTCTTCTCTCAAAGAGATGATGTTTTCCGTATTTCTGCCAATCCATGTGTCTTTTGCATCTGTGTTTTTAAAAATGCTTTGGTATTTTATAGATGAGCTATTTTTATCTGGGCGTACAGGAGGACCGGGGGTGGGGGGGGGTTCTGCCCTTTTCCTGCAACAAAGCCCATTCATGGAAGTCACCATAGCACAGTAAGTCACCAACAGACATGGAAAGCCCATGGTGTCTCCTATCCTAACCCGTTCTGGTCCTTCCTATCCTGAGGCAACTTGCATTCTGACAAAACTGGGCTTCTTGGGGGTATGGAAGGTGGGCATAAGCCTCTTTCTTTGAATTATGACCCGTCTGCTGAGTTCCAGGGATGGGCGAGAGGTACGAGGCCTCCTCTGGCTCGGCCTGATCTCACAGGAGCTGCTCCACTCCCATGGTGATGGCCCACACCCATGTAGCAAATGCAACTATAACGATCCTGAGTCATCTCAAGAGCAGTCCTTTGGCCCTTGTAATGCTTTCTTGAGGACCGTAATTATTTGCAGTCTCTCCCTGCACCTCAGGCCTGTAAATACTTTTACAAGCTCAGGTGGAGGATGTTCCCTTCCAACCACTTTCTCTGTGTTTTCACAGCCATTGCAAAAAGAACCATGTGGAGTCTTCTGAGGTTGCCTGTGTGGCCTCAGAGGGTAGGAAAAGGAGGTATTCCAGTGGGCAAGGAGGGGGTGGCAGAGGAACGGCTGGGGCATGGACTTCTGCCCTGCCAAAGGCCCCTCTAGAGCAAAAGCATTTAAAAGCCAGGCAGAGAGGTCAACAGCGCCTCTGGCACTCTTCCTCCTCTGTCCACAGAAACTTAGCAGGGCATTGGATCTATGGAAGCTTCCAGGGATTCAGTAGGTCACCACATAGCTACTTATGTACAATTCCCAAGGCTTTTGGATGTTTCCAGATTCAGAAGGGCCACCTTCGGTGTGTGTTTGCTGGTCACAGTTATCCCTCAATCTCTTAGGAGGAGAATGCCCCACTTAGTGCCCCTGGGATGTCCATTTGGATCGTGTTTAGAAACCATGAAATTTAAATCTTAAAGTTTGTTTATATTGTGTTGTTGTCATTAGGGTTATACAGAGGGTGCAAGGAAGAAAGTGAAGTTCAATTGTTTTAAATCTGGGATCCTTTAGCAGGAACTTTTAGAGAAAAACCAACTATGTGCATTGATATTTTTGTATTTCCGCTTCCTGGCTGAACATTTTAGTTAGCCATGATCTCATCAGCTGAGGCAGATTATTAATTCCAGAAAAGGAACAGATAATCCAATGGTGGATAATATGTAATACTTGATACATATAATACTTGATTATCTCCAGCACTTGATTATCTCCACAAACTAGGTCTGAAAATACTTAAATTGCATTTTATTTGGTTTTTCCAGCAAGGAGACTGATATATCTGCCAACACAGGCAATGTCATATCACCTGTGAAGAAGAAAAGGTATCTGTCCTATTTTATTTGGTGTCTTGGAGTATAACTCATGTATTAATAAACTTAAATGTTTATGCAAAAAGTGCTTTCTTAATGCAGAATTTGATTCTAATCATTATCTCAGTCAAGTCTTTTCAAAGAGATGTTTAAATTCCAGAAGGGTAAAGAGTACAACTAATTCAAAAGATAAATTTGCAGACTTGTTGTTGTTGTTAGTCGCAAAGTCATGTCCGACCCATTGCGACCCCATGGACAACCTTCCTTCAGGCCTTCCTTAAGCTTAAGTGGACTCCATCCCCCGGAGTCCACTTAAGCTCATGCCAACTGCTTCAGTGACTCCATCCTGCCACCTCATCCTCTGCCGTCCCCTTCTTCTTTTGCCATCTATTGTACCCAGCATTAGGCTCTTCTCCAGGGAGTTCTTCCTTCTCATTAGGTGGCCAAAGTATTTGAGTTTCATCTTCAGGATCTGTTCTTCTAAAGAGCAGTCAGGGTTGATCTCCTCGAGGACTGACCGGTTTGATCGCCTTGCGGTCCAAGGGACTCGCAGGAGTCTCCTCCAGCACCACAACTCAAAGGCCTCAATCCTTCAGCGCTCGGCCTTCCTTATGGTCCAGCTTTCACAGCCATACTTTGCAACTGGGAAAACCATAGCCTTGACTACACGCACTTTTGTTGGCAGGGTGATGTCTCTGCTTTTTAATATGCTGTCTAGATTTGCCATAGCTTTCCTCCCCAGGAGCAAGCATCTTTTAATTTCTTGGCTGCAGTCCCCATCTGCGGTGATCTTGGAGCCCAGGAAAATAAAATCTGTCACTACCTCCATTTCTTCCCCATCTATTTGCCAGGAAGTGAGAGAACTGGATGCCATGATCTTAGTTTTTTTAATGTTGAGTTTCAGGCCAACTTTTGCACTCTCCTCCTTCACCCACATCTTCACATTCTGCCACGAGAGTGCTATCATCTGCATATCCCTGATAGACCCAAGTAGAAGTGATTATATGGATTATATGTATTTTGTGTTTTAAATAATTGCAAACCATTCTGAGAGTGTGTGCTGACAGAATGGTCTATACAAACTTTAAATAAATCTAATTTAATGGTTCCCTACACCAATGTAAGATACAGATTTGGCAAAGTCCTTGAGGAGCTTAAAAAAACTTGGGGAGGAATATCCTGCCAATGCCAAGGGTGGTGCTAGACGGATTTAGGTTAGCAGTGCCACAGCTGGGGTGGGTTCACATGGCACAACAAACCACAATGGTTTCTTGCTTAGGTAGGTATGTTGAATTGACTGAACCCTGTCATGTATTTCAGCATGGTTTTTCAAAGCCTCCATAAAAAACCATAGTCTATTCTATGGCTATTCTATTCACCATGGTTTCTTCAGTCCTCCAAACATGGCATCGAGGTTTCCATGGTCCTGGTATACAGCTACCATAGAGACCTGTGGAAAGAGTGGCAGCTGCAAGAGCTGCTTCAGCCAGCCAATATAGGATTGAATTCCAGGTGCAGTGGCTGATGGGATATATGCCAACAGGGGGAGGACTGAGTGAGGAAGCTAGAAACCATGCTGGAGTAGAAAGCACTTGATTGTCTATCAGGCAGATCCAGGCAAAAACGTGCATTCCATGGAAACCATGAAGCATTGCTTCTCATGGCATGTGAACCTGTTACTGTTACTAAAAAGATAGTTGCCTTTTAGGCCCCTGAGAGTTTTAAGAAGCTTTCCTTGGGCAGGCTTGATCAGAAGGTCTATCAGGGCCACCCAGACACAGTCCTAGTAATTCTTCCTTTTGGGGCATGGCATAATATCCTTGTGTCCTAGCCTTGCGACCTGGAATGCTTTAAGTGGAGGTGTCAGGGGTCTTCTTCAAGCAAAAGACAGTCTGATACTAGAAATGTGTGCAGATATGAAGACACTCTAGCCATTCGGTTCCCCCTGCTTTTGCAGAAAGTGGCGACTATATTCCAGGAAAAAAGTGCTAGATACTCTCAGAAATTCTCCGTAGGGAGACAAAAACTCAGAAGTATACGTTGAAAGGTTTTGCTTTTGCATTAATGAAAATCACAATAGGCAAAATCCAGTTAAGCTCACCCAAGTGCTTTTATATTTTAATTGGGATGTAAACAATGGGGTTTAAACTTACCCATTGACTAGACAGCACCCGCCATGCCTCAGATGTTACTGTTGTTCAAACACAAGACATTATAAAGCAAGTTATAATACAAAGAAATTCTCCATTAATTAACATGGAACAGACAGTCATGGATGCCTCCTCCAGTTTCAAACCCGAAGGCTGATGCAGACAACGCGGACCAACACAAAAGGTAAGAACCAGTATTTTAGCAAAATTTGCATCTGACTTCCAATCGTAGAAAAGAATGTGCGCTTCTTTGTCAGGTTGTCAGCGCCTGCACAGTTGCTTGCAATATTTGCTTTAGAAGTAAAACTTAAAGGAAAAAATATGAGCGCTTCCACAGTTAATGCTTTCTGAAAACTTTTATAACTTTAAAGCAGGGATGGGCTTTAAAGTTTTGTGTGTGCGCGCGCGCTCAGGGGGACATTTGATTAGAAACCTTGGCCCTGTGTAGTGAAATGCTTCCCTGTACTGAACACTTTGCTATGTGCCAGGCACAGTCCATTTTCAGTGTGTGTCAGAGAGCCAGTGTGGGGCAGCGGTCATGGGTGCGGGTCTGGGACTGGGACTGAGGCGATTTGGGTTCTACTCCACCCTCAGCCATGAGGCCAGCTGGGTGACTTCGGGCCAGTCACAGACACAGACCTCACAGGGCTGTTGTTGTGAGGATAAGATCGAGGAGGAAGTGAATGACGTAGGCCGCTTTGAGTGCCTTGTAGAGAAAAAGAGAGAGAAAATCTAACAAACAATGTATCAGTCCTCTTTTGGACTTGGCTTTCTCGGTAGCTGTGCTAAACTTCTTCCAACAGTTTGGGAACCAAAGGACACAATTGTGCCAAAGGACACAATATTTTAAGCACACAGGTAGCATAAGTGTCTCCCTGCCATTTTTTTACCTCTAAAGTAAAGGCAGAAACCACTAAGTTTTTAGGAACCTGGAGTGAGGGACTTTAGCCAGTTGCCCCTGCTGTGGTCCAAACCTAGACCGGAGTCCTGCACCTGAAATTTAAATTGCCCAACACAATAAATTCAAACAAATAGATACTTTCTAACAATGAAAATCACAGGAGTGGGGGGAGTCCTAGTCTGGACTGGGACCACATCAAGGGGTAAGAGTTAAAAAACTCTCCCTCCCATACTAGTACCATGATCCAAAATAAATTTACTTTGGAGTAACAAAAGAAAAGAGATACCTGCTAGTTGTGTCTTTAAAGTAACGTGTAGTTTGCCCCTGAGCTAAAGGTCTAAATGTTTAATTAGAAGCTTTTTTCATTGCAGCTTGGTTGGTTTCAGTGTAATAACCCACACGCAGGGGGTGGGTTCAGTGTGGGTTGTTCTCCAATTTGGGGGCTGGAGCAGCTAGGAAGAGTTGCGGAGACGCAGGAGCGCTCAAGAGGGAGTAGAAGGAAGGCCCACCTAAAAACCTCAGCGGAGCACTCCGAGTAAGTCGGCTGAGAGTCACAGGGAGCAACAGAGTAAGGAAGCAGGGAGGATGGCTCAGGGCGCTGCGGAGGCCACAGTGCTGTGGGTACCATTCAAGTCTTTGCCATGTCATGTGAACCCAGGCAGGGTTTGTTTTTGGGTTGTGAACTGTAGGTTGTTCACCATGGTTTCTTATCCTGGCTGGGTCCAGACTACACCCTAACCCACATTTCAACAACAACTTGTGTTTCAAGAACAACTCGCAGTCCGCCGCAGGCAGCATGTTACATTGTCTGAAGGGTTTCTTGGCAAGGGTGGGTGATCTGCCCCCCGTGGGCCCCATCTGGCCTGTGAATAACATCCACGCAACTTCCCTCCTACCTGTGAGGAAGTTCAGACAATCCTCCCAGTGTGTTCAGGGTTGAGATGGCCTTACCGGGGATCCATCTCTCTTAGGTCCGTGGACTTCCTCTTGTGCTTGGCCCTGTCTGAGAAGGCAAGCTGAGCTGAGCAGGAGCCCACGAATGCTCAGGGAAGTCCAGCTGCACAACCAGCAGCAGCACAAGGGGCCGCAGAAATGTTCGGGGGCGGCGGCAGCTCCCCTGTAAGGAACGGCTGCAACAACTGGGGTTGTTCAGTTGAGAAAAAAGGCAAGCAAGGGGAGACGCGATAGCGGGGTTTGGAGTAATGCATGGCCTGGAGTAAGTGGAGAGATGGATTTTTCTCCCTCCCCCATAAGACTTGAACCCAGGGTCATCCCATGAGGCTGACTGGTGGGAGGTTTAAGACAGATAAAAGGAAGAGTAGTTAAACGATGGAACTCACTGCCACAGGAAGTGACGGCGGCCTCCAATTTGGGTGGCTTCAGAAAGGGATTGGAGAGATTTATGAGGGAGGCTCCCAGTGGCTACTAGCCTTCCTGGCGCTTGGCTACCTCCTTGGCCTGAGGTGGCCTGCCTGCCTTCCTGCCTGCGCCAGTTGCTGAGGGGCTGGGCAGGAGGGGCCTTGCACTGTCCTGCTGGAGGGGCCCTGTGTGCAGCTCCGTGTGAATGGAATGAGCCGTTGGCCTGATCCAGCGGGGCTTTTCTTTGCATCTCCTTGTGCAAAGACCGAGCACCTGCGCAGAAGGGGGAAATCCCGCGTGTGGCAGCGGCATGGGGCTTGATTCCTGCTGAGTGCCATGGGAGTACTTGGCACACTCACCGGGTGGGTGGACTCATGGCCCCGAGCGCGTGGGCTGGAGCCCAGGGGGCCGAGCCCAGGGAATCTGGTGGATTTCCGCCTCCTAAGTGGATTCCTCACACGTGCCTTCCATTTCTCCACTTACTTCCTCCTCTCAGTTGTAGGCTTAACCTCCCTTTGAATCAAACCAGTTTACCATGACATCTATTCTGTGTTGTGAGGAAACCTTCCCAATCAGTCAAACTGTAGTCTGGAATCCTAGCTTGAACTGATGAACAAAGCAAACTTTGCTGGTCTGAATTGTGATTTAATCCAAACTGGAGGCGAGAAAATAATCCGGCAGGTGAGAGGAGAAGCTAGCATGTAAACAGATCGCCCGCTCACAATTCTGCAACACAGAATCAGCTGGCTAATTGCTCTTCCCCTACTTCTGGTTGTGAATAGAAGATGAAAATAGGTAATAAAACCAGTGAGCAGAACCTTAGTCTGGCCTCTGCATTCAGTCCTCCAGGGTTCTCCAGAAAGCCACATCCCTTTCAGCCCCTGATTGTTTGGCAGTTTTCTGGGCTTTTGTGTACTTTCCCCCTTTCTGAAAGGTTGAAATGTTTTTCTTAAGGCCCAGTGACTTTCTATGTAAGTTTGTTTGCATTTAGCTTCACCTGTTTTGTCTTTGGCTTTGTCCAGCACAGGAAGCCAGCCTGTGAGAGCATCTCCAAACTGGCATTGACCCTCAGGTTGAACCTGGTTATGCACCCCGACTTAGAAGATTGCAATGACCTCCTTTCCGACTGCGGAGTAATGATCCCTTCTGAGTGGCTGCTCGAAGGATTAGCATCTCACCCCTTGTGCAGCCAGCACAGAGTCAGATGCCCACTTGTAAACCAGGAAGGCTCCGGTTCAAATCTCGCTTCAGGCTGGACAAACCGCCATGCAGTTTAGTCCAGCCGCAGCCTCTCCCCTCTGCAGTATGGGATGGAAATAACAATACTGAACAACCTAAAGGGTCAATTTAAGGATTACGGAAATGCAGATCAAGTGCTTCTAACCCTCTCCAGTGTTAAGTACCATATACACGCAGGCATTTTATAATCCTCTGTACCGCTTGTGAAATATTTGGTATGTTCAACATGCAGATGAGTCAAGCAGTTTCTGTTTCTTTGCACAGACATTCTGGGCTCCAGCAAATGCAGCTGTATCAGCAGCAAGGAATAATAAACCATAAGAAAGAGCACAGTGTTTATGGTCGTGTGTCTTTTGCTGAAGCACATTTAGGGATATACTTTCCCGTGTACACCATTTCTGCTACCCCTAAGATGTAATGGGTGAATGCAGCAAAGCTGAGCTCGCCGATATGCACATTGGAGAAGCACATTACCTAAGAAAGCCCAGTGCCATTTTCATTTCCTCATCAGGCGTATTCTTGGTGGAAAATCTGTGTTTGCTGCTGCACAGTGCATTTGAATGGCTCTGGAGTTTAAAGATAAATGCAGATCCCGGAAGTCTAAGTCAAGAAAGAGGTGTCCACGAAAAGGACACTTCCGAGGACAGAGGTGCAGGTGCTTTTTTCCTAGGAAGACTCATAAAGATACACTCATTATGGTTTTCTTACCCTACCCTTTCCTATTTAAGAAAAATCCTCTACAGAAGCTGTGGCCTTTCAAGCTGTGGTTGAACTCCAGCTCTCCTGGCCTCGCTCAGCATTGCCATGAGACAGCAATGACAGGAGGGGTAGTCCAGGAAACTGGGGGTGGGCAGACAGGTTCCCCATTGGTACTGGAAGGTTCCCAACCTCTCTGAGTTTGTAAGGAGTTGCCCTGAATGCCTCTTCCGCCAATGAAGCATGAGAAAAGTACCAGTTGTACTGGGAAACCTGTAGATAGCATTTTAGCTGTATCTTTGCTGTGGATGCACCTTTCCCCATTCCATAGGAATGCTAAAGTGTATGAAGCTTGGGTTTTACTCCTGACCTCTCTATTTTGTGTTCATTTGAATGGCATTGTTTCACAGATAATCAACAGGCACAGTTGGCAGAGGTGCAGGGAAACCAAACTCAGGATTCTCCTGAGAAGTTAGAGCTCTGTCTCATAATTTCTGTGCATTGCAGGTGTCTGGCTGCCAGGTATTACCTTGAATTGGAAGGTAATTGGAATTGGAATTGACAGGACAATTGTCAATTTCTCTTGTCAATTTCTGTTGCATCTGTTGATTAACTCATAGCAAGAGCAAAGCAAAATGGCCATAATTGTTCAATCCAGCACATATAATCATGTTCTGATTATCCAGAGGTGCTTTGGAAGTACAAAATGTAACTAAACTCCACTATTAATAATTTCTAACCAGAGCTTATATTTTTCTTTCTGCAGAGTTCCTACTACTTCAGACAAATCAGGAGGACCAAAGATGTACGTATTTGTAGTATATGTAGAATGCATCTTGGACATTTTCCACAGCCCTGCTTCATGCTTTTTAATGGTCTATGACCATAGGGGGGAAATAATTAAAGGGCAGCCTTTCTTCCAGGAAATTGACACTGAGTTCCTACAGCTACATGCAGTCCTTTCCACTTCCAAATTCAGAAAAAAATGTGGGAGGAATATGGCATTCACCGTTTGCAAGCTAATGCTGACCCTTTCAATAGCTCCTCTTAACTAACTACCTTTCTGTACCACCCGGTAACCAACGCTCTCTGGGCAGCTGCCAGCGCTGGGGCATAAGCAGAAGGCGTCTGATGTCCAGAGCACCAGGACCAGGATGGATGGAGGCAGATGGAGGGCTTAGCGAAGCACAGGAGGGTCAGAGGCAGAGGCAAAAGCAGATACAAGCACAGGTCAGACTGCAGCAAGGCATGGCAGCAACAGAGGTGAAGGCAGAGTCAAGCATAGGCGAAGACAGTCACAGGGTTCAGGCAATGCAACAAGCCATAGTTTGCTTGCTTGCTTGTTTTTAAACCATTGCTAGTCTGTTGTGTTGTCTGAACCCAATCATAGTAAATTTGTTCATTAGAAATCACAATAAGCACCACTGGTTTGTTATATGGTTTCTCTGCACCAGCATGGCTTAATGTGTTGTCTAAACCCCGGATTGTAGTTTCTGGTAGGCAACTGCCCCAGAATCCTCTAGAAAGAGTAGCAGCAATAGAAGCCGTTTCAACCGTCCAGCTTCCGTGTGTGGACCAATGAGGAAGAGACAGATGACCTAGGCAGGGTGTGAAGCACCTTGGGACTGAATTTAAGCACAGTGACTGATGGGATACGTGCCAACAGCAGGAAGACTGAGCAGGAGGAATGGAAACTATGGCAACGTGGAAAGCACTTGATCCTCTGCTGGATAGATCATGGTAAAAACCATGGTAACCATGCAGGGTTGCATGTCATGTTGCGTGAATGGACAGGTGACGTCAAGGACAGGTGAAGGTCAGATACCAGCAAGGTCCAGAGACAAGGGTAAAGGCAAGACCAGGCAGAGATCAGATACTGACAAGACAGATGCAAAAGCAAAGTCAGGAAAAAGCAAGGAGCAGATACCTGGCAAAAGGCACAGAGAAGGAGGCGGAATCCAGGAAAGGGTGAAGTCACTGCAGAACCAGAGGCAGGGCCAAGGTCATGAAGCAGCCACCACAAAGGTTCACAGCACTGGGACAAAATGCAGCAGGGTGAGACAGCCTTTTATAACACCGCCTAAGATTTTCCGTGAGGGCTGGGATTCCCATCCCCGCAAGCACCTACAGGCCTGATACCAGCCCCGCAAGTCCCTGCTTCTTGGCCTATCCAGGGTTTTGCAGATCCTGGCAACAGTTTACAAAGATTAAGAATCTTAGGGATACAATGTTGTGCAAAATATGAAAACTGTTTACCTGCAAATGTATAAGCACACACAGCTCTAAACAATGAGCAATAAGAAGTGCAGGACCCAGATTAAAGACTTTAAAACCTTATATGCTGCCATAGGCCTAACTGAAGAGACAGATTTTAGCTGGCACCAGGTGAACCTTCCTGGAGAAATTATTGTATAAGGGCCACCACTGAGAAGGCTCTGCCTCATGTTGTCACCTTCCAAGCCCTACATGCAGCAGACACGGTGTCTTAGCTAATGAGTATGGCATTTAGGTAGGTTCATTCCAGGAAAGGTGCTCTATCAGTCCCAAGTCCTGGATTTATAGATCGAAACAAGCAGCTTGATTTGGGTTTGGGAACATTCAGACAAGCAGTCAGAGATGGTGTTATATGTTCATACCTTCTACCCTTGTTATTAATCTGGCTGTAACATCTTGCACAAGGTGCAGCTTCTGTACTGTCTTCAGAGATGGTCCTACATAGAGTGCTTTGCAGTAATCTCAACTGGAGGTTCCTAGACCATAGAGGACTGAGGCTGGATTAGGGGGGTTCCAGTTAGAGACCAAGTTTGGGCACCAACAGAAGTTGGTAGAAGGTGCCCTGTGCCCCAGAAGCCACCTGAGCTTCAAGTGGCAAAGATGGCTTCCCCAAGCTATGGATGCCATTTTCAAAAGGTGTTTTCATGAATTCTTGGCGTCTACAGGTAAGGGGAAGACTCATGAAGGTCCTGTAGAAATAGCCATTGGATATCTTGAAGTTACTTGCACTTCTCTTAAAGACCGGGCCTATTGGAGTGGCTGCTGCATGATTCTGCCTGCAACCTTCTACCCGCTAGCACAAGAGGAAGCTGTATCAATTCAATTCGTTGTGACCTCCTCCTGAGCAGACATGCTCCGTCTCTTGATTTTGTGCAGGCTCACTGGGCGCTTCATGGACAGCTACCAAAGCAGGAGCACTTTTTGGGATTGGGGCAATGATGCAAGCTAGTATTTCCTGCCATTATGAATGGATAATGCCAAGTGAATCCCTAGCACTCTCAATATGGAGTGCTAGGCAGAAGTGTTGGATCTGGCCACTATATAGCCTTTCCATAGCATAGTGTTCTGTTTCTTTTTATTTATTTATTTATTTATTTATTTATTTATTTATTTATTTATTAAAACATTTTTATGCCGCCCCATTCGCCGAAGCCTCGGGGCGGCTCACATCAATAAATTAAAATAATTATAATATAAATTAAAATATAAATATAAAATTAAAATACAGCAGTACAGTATAAAATAAGCCGCCCTGGCCAGATAAAACCAATAATGTTAACAGTTAAAATGCTGCTTGAATAAAAAGGTCTTTGCTGGACTTATCTCACAAAGTTGATTTATATATCGGTAAGATGACTCTGGATGAGAGAATGCTATTTCTGTATAAAATAACATTTCCGTTCTCTTCTGCAGGACCATCTATTCATCAGAACCATCTCCAAAGTCAAAAGCTGTTGGGAATGACCATCCCATAACTAGGTAAGGCAGGCTGATGGAGCTAATGACTTGTGTGGACAAAGCCGGTTATTGTTGGGTGTGAAGGATCCAGAGGTAAACACTACGAGGTCCACTCATTTTACTGGGAAAGAGTTAGGCTCAAAGACTTGCAATTACATTAGTGAAATGTTTTGCACATTCCCTTGGGGATCTGGAGTAAACTATACCTTTCATACAAACACAATCTAGTGCCATTTTGGGAGAGGCTGATTTCCAAAAGAAAAATGGCAGGACAGAGAACTTACATAGCTTTCCCTCACCCGTTGTTTTTCTAATTCAACTCAGTCCCCTGATTATTCCAAACATGAGACAGGGGTTGGGCAATCTGTGACTGTTCTGGCCTTCAGTTCCCATCAAACCTAGCCAGCATAGCCAAGGGTGAGGGATGATGGGAGTGGTAGGCCAAAATGTCTGGTAGGGCTTGAGTTTCCCACACTTCTCTGCACCTTGTAAAGATGCACCTAGAACTAACTGAAAGGAGCTGCATGCTGGCATTTCTGCTGCAGAGTTGGTGGAAGGAGAAGGGCCAAGCACTGCTTCGTCCATGACATCTGTTTGTTCCTTCCTTAAGCTGCCTGGCCTAGAAAAAAACTATTGGGAGATTTCAGCATCTACGGTTCTGTGTAATGTGTAGTTCCATGTGCAGCTTTCTCTTTGGATAGGAACGTGCAAGGACTGGCCCAAGGGCACCACGTTGGAGGGCTGGGCTTCAGAGCAGACATGCATTAGGCACACATGCAGCCACACCACCTCTCTGTATTATGAATCCCTGCCTTTCCCTGTACCTCAGTAGGAGAAACTGGACTGGGTGTCCAAACTGGGGACCCAGGAGATCCAGGTTCCAGTCCCCACTCAGCCATGAAGCTCTCTGGGTGACTTTGGGCCAGTCTCATACTTTCAGCCCAAACTACCTGACGGAGAAGGTTGTTGTTGCAGGAATAAGATGGTGCTGTGTAAGCTGCCTTGTGTTCCTCACAAGAGGAAAAAAGTGGGATATACATGTAATCCAAATGATTTCAATATAAAATCGTACATGGGGACAGGGCTTCCAGATGACAAAGATGGTTTCCAAGCTCCTCTGGCTGCTGCTTAGAAATTAACCACTGAGCAGAGGTGGACTGGGGAAGCCAAACTGATTTTAAAACGAAGTTCCAATAAAAGAGAGTCAAGTGGAGAGAGCTCATGTCCTTCAGTTGCCTCAGTGCTTTGTGGAGGTAACACGGAGGTTCCTTCTTCATCCAAAAACCACCACAACCACAACCTTCTCCATCTGTGTCCCTCACTCCTCCAGCTCACTGGATCTCCCAGCCTCGCATGTTCCAGAAGCCCTGCAGAGTAGGTGAGTCAGGCCGGCACCAACCTTTTTAAAAACAGACTTTCACTGAAAAGGAAAACATGTTTGTGTTGTATTGATAGAAAGAAGAATCATATATTTATCAGTTACATTTATATCCCGTCTTCTCCTCCAAGGTGGCATGCGCCACGCACACATGCCCAAAGTCATATGGATAATCCTAAAGTGGCATGCTCTATCCCTCAATTTTATTCTCACTCCAACAATCCTGTGAAGAGGTTTAGGATAAGGATCAGTGACTAGTCTAAAGGCATCCAGCAAACTTCATGGCTGAGTGGGACACAAGCTCACATCCTGAGTTCCACTCTCTAGCAAAGATGCAGCCCATGGGCCACAAGTGGCCACTTGCAAGCTTTTTGGCATCCTGTGACAGCTCTCGATAGTTATCTTGCATCTATTCAGTGCCGCGGGTCGGTGAGGCCCACAGGCCGGGAAAAGGCCAGAGTAGCCCCCAAGCTTCCCAAAGCTGCCCACCCCTGGTCCAACCACTCTTTCACTGTGACTACAGGAGAGGCATGGCGGGAAAGATACGGAGCCCGGAAAATTACTTTCTTATGCCTGAAAAAGTAATTCCAGCTTGTCTAAGGGGTGCAGAGCTGTGAGCCTGGGCAGGATCCACTCCCAGTGTCCTTTTTTCTGTTGGAGCATGCCTGGCAGCCTCCCCGTGGTTGGGAACCCCCATAAAATAGGGCTCCTGATTGCACAGATGCATGGGTATGTTTTGACCAAGAGGCATGGGGAAGGCCTTTCCACTTAGGCAGTCTTGGTGGGGGGAGCAGATGGGGATGCTGAGAAAGGGGGCAATACAGCCCCCCAGTCCCTCCCCTCCCTGTCGGATTCCACTACTCCAGCATAATCCTTGCACAAGGTTTTCTACAGTCATGTTGCACCTTAGATGTGAGTATACAGCTGTCATCTAGAATCAGAATTATATATGCTTCCCCAGAAAGTTCATCCCAGCACCAAACAGAAAGACAGGCCAGGATCTTTGGGTTCCTGGAGGCTTGGTCTCTGTTAGCGTAATGCGGGTTACAACATGCCATTATGAGATACGGTTTCTCGCATCTTTGTGCTGTGGTATGTAACCAGACCTCTTTAATAAACACCACAACATATATTGACCTCAGAGTGCTCCTCTCGTGAAAATCACAGAGCTGTGAAATATTCTCAGAAGGAAGCGATAGACTGATGAAAGATTTCTATTGTCAAACCTGGGGATCTTAGAGAATAGAATATCAGTGAATTAACTAGAAGAAGCTGCCTCCACTGCCGCTACCCACGTACAAAAGCTGTTTAAGGCGTCCCTAACCCTCTTCCTCATTCGTTTCCTATCCCCCGCCCCCTCCCGTGGCACTTATTAGCATATTGAGCATCCTGCTCCATTCCACCCTTGGTAGAGAGCTGAGGTAACAGGATTTCTCTGAGCTACAAGTTGCTATGGTAACCTCCTGTAAGGCTTTTGGGTGTCAGTCTCTAAACTTTAAGCAGCTTCAGAAGCTTAACTGCAATGCTTCTTCCCATATTCCTAGTCAAGCATCCTTCCATTTGGCCTTCAGGTTGTAGGACATACCTGGCTGGTCAGCCTTAGGCAGCAGCTGGCTGGTCCCCATCCCAAGCATCAGCACAAAAATAGGGGCTCACCAAAGCTCTTGTCCCAGCCCTAAGGTGAGCCAGTCTGCCAGGTAAAGAATCACCTGTGTTGAAACATGCTAGGAATTTCGATCCAGTGAGTGTCTGTCATTGCAACTTGGTCAGGGTGTAAGAGGGAACTGCCCCCTGCCTTCTGGGTCAATTACCATTTTGCTGTGATCAGACTCATTCTCGAGAATAAACACTTAGCTTTTTAAGCTCTCAGCCTTGTTGTGCTTTATTGGGCCGAGCTCACCAAGGTAAGGACCTCTTGTGTCCAACGAGGCCACACTGGACACCTTGTGGAGTCAGGGGCCAGGACCCTCCCAGATCCTACATATGACTCGAGAACGGAAGTAACACAGATATTAAATCTTGTCTTTGCCAGTTGTGCAAACTTAATTCTGCAAACATCAGCACTGAAGAGCTATTCACATGGCCGGACATTTGAGAGGTTAAATATACTCCAGCACACATTCCAGCTTCTTAGTCCTTATAAGAGAGCGGTGTCGTTGTTTTTTTAAAATCCCAACATGCTGTCTTATCCTCATTAGGCAATGACGTAACTGCCTCAGATAGTATTTGTGGGGGAAGGAAAGTATAAAGGGAGAAACTGATCTGAAGATGGGAGCCGAGAGAGACAATTTCTCTGATTGTGCTATCTAGTCTTTATGAGCTGTTGCATTAACAGAGTCCTTAATTAAGCTGCTGTTAAAGGCACAGGGACAAAAATCAGGGTTTTAAAATGTTGGAATACCTTGGCTGCTATAAACAGAAACATCTGATCACCTGAATGAATTTTGCTTATGTGAATTTCTGGTTCCTTATGGACCACATCTTTAACTGAGGGTGAATTAATTTGGAATATTAATTTGCATGGAGTCACAACTCCTCACTATAATCATCTTTTTCAAGAGCAGAAAGATTTTTAGGTGGCAGCTGGAGGCAGAATATTTGAAGACAGCTGTGCTATTTCAGGATCTTTGCAACTGAGCGACACTGGGTTGCTTCCAGATGGGCACTTCCAAAAATTGCTGTTCTATTGCAGGCAATGTGTAGAATTTATGCTTTCCACATTTGGGGCATTCAGTGTCTTTCAATGTCTGTACTTCACACTAGGTTTCATCTACAGTCCAGAGGGCATGATGCTAACGGGCAGCTTTTACACAAATTTAGAAAAAAATAAAATAAATTGAAGGTATGGCATAAGCTGTGTAGGAAAGAAAAGGATAACGCAAGCACAACCATACTGAATCTTCAAAAAAGCCAACTAAAATTGTAGTAAATCACAGTTATTTCAATCATGTTAAAATGTACAAGAAAAAAATAAATTTTAAAAGACCCACGAAAAACAATATAGACAAAAATAAAAGTGTGTTGACAAAACAGGCAGTGTGCTAGTTCTTTACGGCATTTAAAAAAACAATAGAAATGCTTTTTTGCATTTAAGTGCTGTTCTGTGGCTATGATAATTAAACAAGACTAGCTACATATTTGAATAAAAATATATATCTAAGCTGGAAAGTAAAAGGGAACATGGCCCAAGTTTTAAACGCATAGGAAAAGCATGTGACCTTTTTAAAAAAAATAGAAGGGTAGAGTTAAGGCATCTTATGCCAGCAGAGATTGTGTTATTGCTTGGACTTAAAAGTCAGATTTTCTTCTTTTTCAAGAAATATGGGGAAGGCACAAAAGGACACAAAATCCACAAGAGGATTTTATCTGATGACAAAATTATGTGGATGTCTTATAAAGACTGAAATAAATTTATGCTACTTTCCTAGCTATTTCTAAATCTTGGCAGATAGGAAAATATTGTAAAAAAAGTATGGAAATGAACTTAAGAATTGTATTTGAGCAGCAGGGTGGTGGCTCACAAGTGAATAATTCTTGCATGGTAGGTTATATTTTAGTCCAAGGAAAAATAGCTCCAATTTATCTGACCTTTCATAGAATGAGCTTTTGAATAAAACTCCCCCCTAGCAATAAATGTTGCCATCTGGTTCTGCATGCTGGATGGGAAATACGGGGAATTGTAGCACTCTTTTCTGTCTAAACATGCATAGCTGCAGCCTTTGTTGTTAATGCTTTGTAGGATTCCTCTGGGGCAGTTAGATATGCTTATTAGTCATGGTGGCTAGAGAGTAGTTTGTTTTCAGGAGACGCCTGCTTTCCTAAGTGGATGTGTTGGAGTCACTTTCCTGGCGATTGTTTACACATCTCACTTCCCAAAACAACTGGGAAGGCAATATCTTCCCATCCCTTTAACTCTGAAAATGAGTTGCATTCAGCAGCTCAGGGTATTTTGGGCAGAATGGAAATGTGCTTTCATGATTGGCTACGGTGTCGTTCAGCTTTTTAATCCCTGGCTAGTATTTGTGATCTACTCTTCAGTGAGGCGCATTTAATTCTGCTTGGCACTGTCCGGCCAGTGCCTTGGCAGAAACGAAAACGGTGATCTGCAAGCGCGTTTCCTGAGCCCGCATCACTTCATAGCTAGCCGACGAATTGCCCCCGAGTGCAAGCGGCCCGGCCCTTCAGCAGTGTGCAGGCTGAGGGACTGATGAGTCGGCAGGTCCTCCTCGCTCAGGTCCCAGGTTTCTGCAGTCAGGCTGCCCTGGCCTCGCCGGCTCCTCCACTGCGGCTGCTCCCCTTTTCTTGTGCCTGCAAAGCATGCCTGTGGCCAAGCGTTCCGAACAGGGTAGCAACTGCAGCAGTGATGCAGGTGACTCAGGGGACTGCCAATGTGGAGTGTCCTGCCTCTGGACTGGAGAGCCCTGTGTGCGTTGCGTGCATAATGAGCCCAGAGGGCCCCTCGCTGCATGCCCACAAGGAGCTCGGGGTTCCGCTGAATATGGTTGCTTGGTTGTCTTGGGTTGGACCCAGACTTGGGCATATCCGCAGTGGACGCTGTAAAATCAAAGGGGATTGTTAGTCATGACTCCCTCAAGTCCCAGTGATTTCAGAGGGTCTGCTCTAAGCATGGCTATGTCTGGATCCAACCCGGTAAATCAATAAAGGTGAAATTGTGTATTTATTTATTAAAAATGTATACCCCACCCTTTCAAGGTGTATGCTTTACTCAGCCCTGTTGATGGCTTCTTCAACAGTTCTTTCCTCTCCAACAAGCCATGTTGGTTCAGGCAACCCAACCCACCATGCCAGGCAAGCAGTGCCTGGCTTACACCACGCCTTAAACAAGCTGCAGTGTTTAACCCACAGTGATTGTGGAAACCTGCTCAGTTTTCTGCTAAACCAAGAAGAAAACGTATAAAAGACACAGGCTTAGCTGATCCATTTGTTTTGGAATTTTTATTCTTATTTGTACAACTTACAACCAACGAATGCAGCAGTTCAAGAGTATATCAGGCAAACAAGCAAAAAAAGGAGGAAAATTCAAAATATTCTCTGGAGGAGCTTATAAGGCCGATTTAACAGTGGGGGAGACAACAGAGGGAGAAGGGTAGAAAGGGCTGGAGCTCGGCTGTTGCGGGAATTGAAGCTCAAAGCTCAAGCCAAGGAAAGCCATGGTCATGGATACGTTGAGAATTGGTGCCATGCCTGAAGGCAACTGACCTGTACCTGGTGCTCCATGCATGGAAGCACAGCAGACGAGGGCCACTGCCCTCTGTCTTCCTGCTCATGGCTGCATCCTGCTGGGGTGGAGAAGGGCACGAATCTCTTTCAGGTATATTTTTGGCTCCCCTGCACCTGTTCAGAAGATACCCCAAGCTATAGGTAATAGAGAGAGGTTGAAATTGTAGTTAATATCAGGAAGTCCTGTGCTACATATAAAGACAATAAATACATTTTGTTTATTTAATGATTTGTATTCTGAGACAGTCAGCCCAAGATATTCGGGTTCCAAGTGAGAGCTATTACTATAGTAGATTAAAATAAAAGAAACAACAGCAAAGCAAATGATTGACAATCTGTTAATGGTACCCCCAACTCTGAAATGGTCAAGATGATGGCTTAAATGATTAAGAAGGTCACTTTAGCCTTCATAATGGGCTGGGTCGATGTATCCCCCTTTCTCATAAAGAGTCCTGCAATTCCAAAGTCATTTGGGCATGTGGAATTCTTGCAGCTAATGTGTTCAAAGGGAATACAAAATAAGATGAAGGACCTACCAAAGTTCCTTCTCCTCCTCCTCCTCCTCCTCTATGTTTATTTACCACAGCCATCAGCCACAGCCTGCTCTGTACTGCATAGTTTTGAAGGCATTTCTGTACCATAATATTCTTAATTGGAAATGTAATCCTGCGCATGCTTATTGGGAATAAAATCCCATTGTGTTTAGTGATGCTTACTCTCTGGCAGAAGGTTTAGCACTGAAGGCAAAGTTTGCAAGTCAATGTACACTTGCCCAGCAGAAATCCCACTGGATTCAATGAGACCTAGCTTCTGAATAGACATGCATAGAATTGAACTGATGGACCAGCAGTAACACCAATAAGAATTGCATTGGTCATTTTGTCAATATATTAGCCCTAAAATCATTTTGGAGGTACTTGCTGCCCCAATGATACAAGCCCATTTGATCCATCATATTTACAAGGGATGTGTTTTGTTCTTATAATCCCAGTGTAACATTGTGATTTCGACACTGAGCAGCTAATAGGTAGAGCACTTACTCTAGTGACAGTTTTCTTAAAATCGAGCCATTGGCATCTCATCAGCAATTTTTGGAACTGAAATCCTAATTAAATGTTCTTCGGAGGAGCAAATTTATTGCATTGCACCTCATGGAAAGGGATCTGTTGGCTGCCTAATCAGTCGGAGTTGCCAAATGAGATTGATTGAGTGATTGCTTAAACAAAACAGAAGGGTGAGAAAGTTGCCGTTTCATGGAGGGCGCCTGGGTTAGTGACGGGGTGATCTCAGCAGTGCTGGAACTGCTTCCAGTGAAAGCAAAGAGGTTAAAGTCCGGCTGTTGAGGGCTGGGAAATCTTCGGGAGCAGAGTTTCAAGTGGCGTGGAGGGCTGCAGTAGAGAGGAAGAAGGAAGGCATTTCCATGGTGCGAGCAGGGTTCTGACTTGCCTCCTCTGCCTGTGTTTCTTTATCAAGTTTCTCTCCCCTGTGTCCGACTCTTCTCGGCATATTGACACGCTCAGGGTGTTTTTGCATGAGCATTTACTTTGCATTTTTAATGCAGTCTTTTGAAATTTGGGAACCCCACCAACTATACCTGGCCCTGCTTTAATTTTATAGTTCAATAGTTGCTACTGATCTGATGCAAGCAGGACTTCTCCTGGCAGGCGGCCTGATCCGCTCCCTATGATGCCAGTTCTAAACATAGTCTCTGGAGACTCAGGACTCAACTACGCAACCTCTTCTCTGAAGAATTAACCTTAGCTTAGTGCTTACAGGGCATTATATGAATAAACATAGTATGCAGGCTCATTCATAGCTGTTTCCATTACCTTTTATCCATGATTCACATTTAAGCTGATTTCTTGCACAATTAGTTGATGCATTTGGAACTTGTGCAAAATCCTTGGAGTGTGGCTCTTGGCGGGGAAAAGGCTTTTGGGAATGACCAGCTGCAGCTTCCAGGCACCTATTTTGCTGTGCTGCCTCACAAAGTGATAGTTTAAGATGAAAATGGGAGGCTTTGAGGCACTTTGGTGGCTGCCAAGAAAGGTGCCCAGGGGTGCAATTTCCTACCCTGATCCAATTCAAAACTGTGCCAAGTTTTATCTGGCTGGCTCATCTGGAAGACCGTTCCAGATGGTCCCCCTAACCTGGGGAAGCTGTATGAATAAGACACACAGCTGCTTTTTTGAAATAAATCTAATCTGTTTTGTAGGCAGATATGTCCAGCGAAACCCAGTGAATCGGATGCAAACAGTCTCAGAACTGTGACTACAGAGAGAACTCGGAGGTAGGATCTTCTGCCTTTGCATTAATCTGATGTCATCACAGGTTGAGAATTAACAATGTCAGCTGAGTTTCAAGTATTTTGGGCAATTAAAAGGGATAGCTTTACGTGCGCTGCCGGATCCTCTTGTAGGAAGGACGGGATGTTTTTTGGCTAGAGCTGGCTCATACGACTTGACCCGGAAGCTAAGCGCAGTCCTTTGCCCAAGTGCGGCAGCCCACTAAGGACTCGACGGGATCCTTTTTGCAGTACAAAAGCAGGGGATGGGTCTTCCTGGCATTTCAGAAGCTGCCAGACATGGTATGAGGGCTGGCGCTGCAGAGGGTACGGTACAGACCTTGACACAGAGTCCTGCTCTTGGGGTGGCACTTGGGGTTAGTCCACTGTCTCTCACTCTGCCCAACCTCCCAGAGCTGTAAATATAGAAAAGAGGTAAACTCATATGCTTTGCTGGTGCCATAAAGGAAGGATGGGATACATGTGGACCCTCCTCATTTATGCAGTACCCTTTGAAGCTAACCACTGAAACGGTTTGCCCTTTTCTTCTGCTGAATAATTACATCAAGCTTAAAAAATGTATCGCCATAAATGCACTGGGATTTCTGCTGCAAAAGATTCCATGGGGTTTATTTGCTCGAGTATCAGATGTACACTTCTAGCACACTGGCACTGAAGTGTCTGTCTGTTTCCTTCTGCTGATTTTCCTTTATCTCTAATGAAGCCAAGACCTGGAAAATCTCATTCAAGCCAAAGCCACCAGTGACAAAAGTGATCAAAGGTAGGTCTCAAGAAGCTTCTTGACAACATTTATTTCCGAATATGAAGGTGCGGCTGGGTCATGCCAGTGCTATGGAAAGATGGGGATGGAAGCAGAAAGCAAAGGTTCACAGAACTGGGCATTAAATTGCCAGAGCTCAGGTTGGAGACCCTGGAAGTTCTGAGAGCTTTCCTCCTGAGAGAAGAGCCCATCTGAGGGGTGAATTTGCAGAGAAGGATCTGCAGAGTCGTAGATGTAGTGAACCATCTGCGGCAACCGATGGATGTCTCGTGGTGCTGCTGGTAGGTCTGCAGTTGTGAATCGGCACCAGAATTAAGCTGCGCCCTGCAGTCCCCATGCCCCCCACCCCAAGCTCTTAAGTGGGTCCCCAAAGGTAGCAGGGAGTAGCCTGGGGTTCCACTCTGAACCTCCAGAAGTTACAACACTTCCCCCTTGGCCAAACCCATTTGCCCTGTTCTGGGCTCTGCAGAAGAAGGAAGGGATAATACACAACATAACGTTGTACTTACTTGTGCAGGACTGTCCAAATTTCATAGTTCCAGATGACATTTTCTTTTTCTTAAAAATTAAACTGAGCTTAACTATAAATTGCCAGGAATATAATTGAATTTAAGCTGTAAAGATTTCATGGGGTTTATTTCCTTCAAATTACTTTAGCTGTTCATTGAAATATCTCTTTCCTTCCTTCCACTGATTTTGCTTCATTTCCAAGAAGACAAGACTTGAACAGTCTCATCAAAGTCAAAGCCACCAGGGATAAAAGTGAGCAGGAGTAAGTCCCAGAAGGCTTTTATTTATATTTTTTAAATTATGTTTTATTCAATTAATGCATATCCTGCCTTTCTATCAAAAAATGGCCCACAGGGCTACTAATTAATTTAATTTAAATTTTAATTAAAAGCAAACTCTTAATCAAAACATAACATAAAAACAAGCACATTAAAATCACAACTAGAGCATAAGAATAAAAGAAAAACAGTGTCAGCTCTTTGACTTAACTTGTTTCCAGAGATGAGGCTGTAGAGAGAGCAGAGGCCCAATGTACCAAAAACAATTTCAGCCCCAGTTTAATCAGCTATAATCACAAAACTGGGTTCCAAGCCAACCAAGAATGTCATGACGGTCCCACACTATGAACTTGCCCAAAACATACTCCTGTGTCCCCTGAATCTATTCCGTGATGAAGTTGCTTTGCATTTTTCCTTCCATCCCAGCAGAGGCTGATAAAGCAGTAGATAAATCTGCAGGTTATGCAGTGTGTCTGGGATAGAGCATGACTGACTCTATAAAGTTATTCGAGAGTAACCCTTTTGTTACTCTTTCTTATTTGTACAAAGCTGCACCAGTGTTAGGAAAGTGAGAGTGGACCCACAGCCTTTAGGACATTACTCTTCCGGATTTCCCAGAGAGCGAAGCTCCTTTTCCTTTCGCCAAACCATTGATCATTTGGTTCTTCAAAAACGGAATACGGCCTTACCATATGCGAACATCATAGCTGGAAGTCTGTGGCACACGGACATCTGTATACTGTTACACCCCCCCCCCCACACACACACATGCAAAAAATGCAAGAATGCCAGACGTGGCAATTTCTACATAGGTTCTCCAGTGTGGTGTAGTGGGTAAGAGTGCTGGGCCAGGGCTCGGGAGGTCTGGGTTCGAGTCCCCGCTCAGTCATGCAGCCAACTGGGTGACTTTGGGTCAGCCACTCACTCGCAACCCAACCTACCTCACAGGGTTGTTGTTATGGGGATGAGACCGACAGGAGGAGACTCATGTAAGCCACCTTGGGACAGAAAGGGAACAGCAGATATTGGGGTTGCGGAGAGGCAAAGAAATGTGGTACAGCCCTGCTCAAATGCTACAGTCCACGCCGTATCACTAAAGGCAATGGGGAGGTCTCCCACCTGCTGGCTGGCCAGGCCTGTAGCTGGCCCCGTGGCCCTCTCTCAGAAGCATTCAGGGAAGGCAGACCCAGCAAAGGAGAGGGTGCACAAAGCTTTCGGAAGTAACAGAAGCATCCCCCCGCCCTGAACTCACATGTCACCCAGGAATGATCAAAACAAGGGGTCGGTCAGGGCTGCCAGCAGGCTTTTCCAGTTGTAAGACTATCCCTGCGAGTGCTGCAGAGCTGTAAACACGGTCGGTACAAAAGGGCCGAGCTCTCCCCCAGCCTCAGAGCCTCCGTGTGGGTCTGTCATGTCCAGGGCAGCAGCGGCGATGGGTCTGCCGTTTTCTTCAGGAATGCCCCCCGGCAGGTGAGCGGAGCGCTCCCTTTCCTGCTCTCCTTATTGGCCACTTGGCCACTCTGCACTGCAATTTTGAATCTGCTTGTATGTGCTTATTTCTCTCGTTTTAGCCAAGTACTTGTTTTGTTTACCTGCAATATTGGCATCCTGAGGTCTCAGGTTATTGCATTTTATGCTCACAACAATCCTGTGAGGGAAGAGGACAGCTCTGACCACATTGGTCTGGGCACACCATCTCCCTGCTCACCTGGAATTGTACCCATTATTAGTCCAATGTAAGGCCCCTTCTCTACAATAGGTCTACTCTAAGTAGGGGTATCACTCTGGAGAGAGTGGGTCTCCTGTGCTGATTGAGTGATCACGAGGATACAGTACAATCCCTTGGAGGCCGCAATTTCCCAGGACTGGCAGAGAGGGCGGGCAAAGTGGCTTAAGTGTGGAGCTGGGACTCAGGAGATCGGGACCCCCATCCCCACGTGGCCACGAGGTTCACAGGATGACTGTCGGCCAGTCACTCACTCTCAGCCCAACCCACCTCTCAGGGTCTTTGGGAGAATCAAACAGAGAGGCAGGGGATCACATACCCCATCTTCATCTGGGAGGAAAGGTGGGGTAGGAATGGAACCTATAAAAGTGGGGGGGGGGTCATAAATTCTCCACAGAACTTGATAACTGAACAGAAAGACAAAGGAGCGGGTGTGTGCAGAGGGGTGGATGGACATTTACCATAAAAAATTGCATAACGAACAAGGTTCTGCATTGCAAGTCATTTTCACTGAACTGGAAGCCTGAAAAGGTGGTGGAAGAATGCATGGGTAATTACTAAAGGTGCTTGCAGAGAAATGATGAGGGAATGTGTTTGCTTCCAGAAAGTGTGGGATCAAATCATCAGACCATGTCTGCTGCACTCTGAAAAAAGTGTGTTTTCAGTTTAACATTGTTTGGGATTGCAGCCTTGAGACAAAAATAGTGACCTGGTATAGGATTGCACTCCCCTCATCCCACTCTTTGCATACTCCAGTCACCCTCTGTTAGTGTAGCGTTCGATTAGCTGTGAATCTGAAACTGTGTCTGTCATGGATTTGTTACTTTATTTAGCATTCCATTCAGGCCCAAGTGCTTCAGTTCAGCCCTTTGTCAGATCAATCCGTGCATCCTACCTGTTCAAGGGGCAGCAATGGGCGGATCCTGCAGCCACACTTCTCTGCCCTGTCATCAAACAGACGTCCGAATCAAGTCACAGTGCAATTTATATGCTGGTTTTAGAGTTTTCATAAACCTTAGTTTTGATCATGTCACTGAATCAGGAAAAGGGAAGCAATCTCCACAACAATATTAAGGTATTTAAAGTTTGGAGGAAGAGTACTTTGCTGGAATTAATAGTTATGTAACTTATATACTTACTATATGTAAGGATATTTGAAACTACATGCTACTTTTTTGCAGTTGACAAATCTTGATGCATTAAGTTCTTTCAAAGATGAAAAAGACAAGCCACTGATTATTGTCCTTTTTTCGCCACAGGGGAAGAAACTTAGATGACCTCATCACTGTGAGTAACACTGCACAGAAAAGCAGAAGGTAAGGCTTTTAATGCTCTTTCTGTTGCTCATTCCAAACCTGCTTGAAGTGATTGGTGTGTTCCTTCCCCATTCACTTTGACACTCTGATCAAGCACCGGTCCAGTATTTCTTCCTCTGTGGAGCTAAATGGAGCCCTGGAGAAGAGGTGCACTGCATGCCTATCATTACAGGCCTGAAACTCCAGATGGGAGTACCTACCCAGAAAAGATTTGGTGCATACGAGTGGCAGGAAGCCTTGCTCTTTAACACCTGCCTCTCTCAAGCATCTTGAAATGAATAGCAAGGAACCAGCACTTTTTGAACAGTATCTGCGCTTACTGGAATAGTCGTGAGTTGAGTTACCAAGAAAGAAGTTCCGCTAAAAATGCTGGGCGTTCCTTCCACATACAACATTTTGGACTGTGGCATTGGTTAACTTAAACTGCACTCATGCACACTCTTACTTGGGAATGAATCCTACTGAATATGGTAAAACTTAAGGAAGTATGCACAGAATTAGTCCATTGGGATAGAACATCTTGGTTTCTCATAAAGGAACTATTCCATGATTTATACTTACTGCCAAGAGTGTCGAACGGACCTAAATTTAAAACTCAGGTGCGCTCTCAAGTAAATAGTGATGCCTTGATCAAATTGGACTTTTCCCAACTTTTTAAAATTGTTCCTAACATCCAGTAAAAGTGTGTTTTGGGTGATCATCCCAGCATATTCTCTTTCTTTGGCAGAAGCCAAGAAGTGAATGATCTGATAGAAATAAAACCATCTGCTGTTGATCAAAATAAAAACCGGTGAGTCTTAATACTAATATCAGTCTGTTCATCATTTATCTATCTAAATATAAGTATTGGCCACCTTTAAAGGAGCTATTGTAGTCCCGGACCATTTTCAGTGCTTAAATCCTATTGGGCTTCCAACCAAACCAAACCAAACCCCACACAAACAGAGGAAAGGTTGTGACTTAATGGTGGAATGCATGCATTGTATGTAGGTTTCCTGGGATCTCCAGGCAGAGGAAAAATCTTGCCTGAAACCCCAGAAGAGCCACTGTGTAACTTTCCCGCAGTTGTGCACATTTGGATTTATTTAAATGTGCAAAAATTATGTTCTTTTCCAGTCACAAGGTAAACATGTAGCATTAGAAGAACTGAGTTTTTACATTATTTTCTATAATACATCCTAGCATATTCTCTATCTTTGACAGAAGCCAAGAGCTGGATAATCTCATAGAAGTAAAATCATCTGCTGTGGATCAAAATAAAAAACGGTGAGTCTTAAAACTAATTTCTATCTGCCTGTCTACCATTTGCCTATCTAAATTTATTTTGGGACTGCCTTTAAGGGGTGATGATTCCATTCCTGGGAAATCTGCAGTCTTTAAGTCTCATCAGACTCCCTGAAAAAAAAAAGTGCACAAACAGTGCAAAATAGACTAGTTGATGCTCAGTAGTAAAGCACAGGTAGAAGAAACTGGACTGGAATCCTGAAGTCTGTAGCTCTGCAGCAGTTTTGAATATTTCATCTCAACTTAATTGCACACAAATCCTCTCCTCTCCTCTCCTCTCTCACATACATGGAACTTTGCAAGAACTGAAATGTTGTGTTATTTTCAGCAATACATCCTAGCATTTTCTCTGTCTTTGGCAGAAGCCAAGAGCTGGATAATCTCATTGAAATAAAACCATCTCTTGTGGATCAAAATAAAAATCGGTGAGTCTTAAAACTAATTTCATCTATCTAGCTAAAATTATTTCTGGGCTGCCTTTAATGAGCCTAGTGCTCCTGTAGTCCTGGGCAATTTTGGTGTGTGAGACTTAGAAGGGCAGTGATGAAAGACTTAGAAAGGATCAGCAAGGTGACCAAGGCCAAGATCATCCATGCTATCATATCCTCAGTGAGTATGGCTTGGCAAGTTGGACAATGAGGAAAGCTGACAGGAAGAAAATGAACCTGTTTGAAGCACAGTGCTGGGGGAGAGCTTTGCAAATACCGGCAGAAAGACAAGCAAGTGGATCCTGGAGAAAATCAAGCCAGCATCTCATGAGAAGGCAAGACTCTGTGGAGAAGCCCAGCGTGCTAGGGAAAGACAAAGGCAGAAGAAGACAGGGAAGACCAAAGATGAGAAGGATTGACTTCCTAAAGAAAGTGCAGCCTTGAAGTTACAGGGGCTGAGCTGAGCTGAGCTGAGCTGAGCTGAGCTGAGCTGAGCTGAGATGTTAAGGATGGGACTTCTGGAGGGCGTGCTTTCACAGAGTCACTGTAAATCAGAGATGACTTGACATCACATAACACAACAGGAAAGTCCCATTGGAATCCCTACAAAGAAGTACATGAGAGCAGAAGGGAAAGGTTGCCACTCAGCAGGAGAGCACAGGAAGGAGAAGCTCTTCTCCGAAACCCCGAAAGAGCCGCCATGCGACTCTCCAGCAGTTTTGTATATTTCCATCTAAATGCACAAAATTCTTTCTTCAATCACAAGAGGCATACACTCTGTTGCAAGAACAGAGGTGTTTGCATTATTTTTCGTAATACCACCTAGCATTTTTTCAATCTTTGACAGAAACCAAGAGCTGGATAATCTCATCAAAGTAAAATCATCTTCTGTGGATCAAAATAAAAAACGGTGAGTCTTAAAACAAATGTCTGTCTGTCATTTATCCAGCAGAAATTATTTTTGGGCTGCTTTTAAGGGAGCCAACCTGGGCAATTTGTAGTGTGTCGAGGCCCATTGGACCCCCTGCAAAAGAGGACACCAGACCGCAAGGGAAGGGCTGGCGCTCAGTGGGAAAGCACGTGGTTTGCGTTCAGAAAGGCCTCCGGAATTCCAGAGAGGAGAAACTCCCTTTTGAAGCTCTGCAGGAGCACCATGCCACTCTCTGGAAGTTTTGTATATTTCCTCTCAACTGAAATGCTCAAAAATTGCATTCATTTTTCAGTTGCAAGCCAAATACACAGACACTCTGTTATAAGATCTAAGGCACTGGCAATGGTTTCTGTAATGCATCCTAGCATATTCTCTTTCTTTGACTAAAGCCAAGAGCTGGGTGATCTCATAGAAGTAAAATCAACTGCTGTGGACCAAAACAAAAAATGGTGAGTCTTAAAACTACCTACCTACCTCATTTCACCCTCAGAAACCTCACAAACCACACTGCAGACTATTTTCAACTCTGTGTTTAGTGTGGAAGGTGCAAACTTATTTATTTATTTCACTTGTATACCACCCAGTAGCCAAGGCTGTCTGAGCAGTTGGTCATTCCTGATCAAAAACAAGGCTCAAGACCAAAAAAATACAGCACAAGGTGGTATCTTGTGTATCCAGATACTGAGGGTCTTTTGCTCCTTTCAGTGAGGGTCCGATTATTTACGAATCACTACATGTGCAGCTTACTCCTTTACGTGTTTACTCAGAAGTTAATCTCATCACTTCATGGGACTTACTGTTGGGTAAGAATGCAGAGCCGTATTCGGTCTCATTGCACTCATTGGAGCACATGTGCCAGTAGGGCTGGCATAGGATTTTACTGCTAGTGCCCCTTAAACGCCAGCAGTTCCCAATGAATAGAAGAGCCTCTGCCATAGACCCTCTAGGCTACTGCTGATCTGAGGGAACGAGGGCTTGGTGGAGCACTGGCACCACTCTGGAGGCACCGCAAGGAACGCAGGATTGTAGCCAAAGACTGCGGGTGCTGAATGGGATTAGTTCTCTGCTCTCTGCACAACCTCGCTGCATTAGAGTGAACGAACAGCGGAAAGGCCTAGCGCAGGGCATGTGCCGTGCATACAAAATGGTGCCTGGCGCTGAAGGCCATTCATTTGGAAGTGCTTAAGGGCTTGGCACAGACCCAGCGGGTATTCAGAATGCAAGCAAAGGAGCCAGCAAGAAGATTTGCGAGGAGGACTGGCTCGCTGGAATTTCCCCATAAGAAATATTCCCCTTTCCCCCTTAACAGTTTGTTTTCCTGGTCCCTGTTGTGTAGTGCAAGAAGAGAGAAGTGATGAAAATAAGTATTGTCAGATGTCTTTTCTTACCTGTCCTCCTTAGGGCACCTGAGCAAGATTTTGAATCTGCCAACATTCCAGGCTCTCAATCAGAGAAGGACCATTCACACCAGGTTGCAAGAGGATCCAGGTACCGTACTTGAAAATCATTGAATTCAATGTTTATTTTTTCCTCAAGTGTCACAAACTAGGATTGTTTAAATTAAATGTTCCCAGTCTGGCAACTCCCTGCTGGTATGGGAATTCTGATGCACACACGGCCTTCTCACACCTGTAGATGCCTTCCAGTAAAATGCACAGGTTTGCATAAATAAAGGGACACCCAGCCAACTGTCTGAAAGAACAGCATGTCTGTGTGCCCAAGCTCCATGGGTGTGGTGGGGAAATAGCCAGGGCTGCAGCTTTCATCTCACGCTCCCTTTACCACAGTCCACAAACTTGCAGGGATACACAGGCCATAGGAAGGGCACGCCTTCTATCCTGGGTCCTACCACTAATCGGATCCTGAATTTGCACTGTTCAAGAACAAAAGGGTTCCACGTGCACCCCGGTAATAACCCTCAGATCTGTTGGTTGCCCCTAGAAGCTCTGTTCAGGAGGTCTGTGACTGGGTATAATCAACTCAGTTAAGTGTGACTCCCCTCTGCTGGTCAGTGTGCGGGTTCCCCTTTGCACTGGCCAAGGTGCTTGGTGAAGAAGACTTCCTGCACACATGGAAGTGCTCCATGTGATCCAGTGCTGAGATTTTGCCAAAGTTCTGGATTGCACAGAAAACCTCCACAAAGAGAGGAGGTGCTTGTCTTCAGACTTGAGAGCAGAGAGCAATAAAATGCAAGAGGGGGAAGAACGGGGCTGGAGTCCCTGGCCTCTTACACATTTGCCTTGTGTCTGGATCAGGATCATGGCTGCTCACGGAGACTGTGAAATCCATGCTATCCAAATGGGCTTAGGAAGATGTTGGCACAGGGTCTTTGTTGTTGCACGCCACTGTTGGTGAACTCTGTTCTTGTTTCCATTCATTGCCTTACACATTTGTGAGTCATCAGTGGGTAAACATTGCTGATCAATTTTAGGTGTAATGTACCTTTCTCTGCTTCTGATTACTTGGTAAACTTATTTCCCTATTTTGGGAAGGCCTGGCCCTTACTTCTTACACTCATTTTCCACACTTCAAAACCACTCCGCACCTCCCTAGCCTAAGTAGTTTGTCACCTGTTTCCTGGCTAATGTACCCTTCAGGAAAGGTCCCCGAAACTTGAATGGATTGTACCACTTCCGACTGTGGGTGGGGATGCCTTTTCTGAATGTTCCCTGCACATAAAGTAGTTATGCCTCCCAGTGAAAGAGGAGCTAGGCCAGTATACACTTAGCTGTGTTAATTTCTACTTGCAAAATTTTTCAAAAATGTGATCCCTGGCCTTCGCGTTGAGGTGATACAGTCACTTCAGAATGCAGTCCATCTGAAAATTGCCCAGTAGCCAGCTCTAATGATATCCATGACAAATTTGACTCAGTGCTCAGTGCTCAAAGACATGGAAGCTTTCCAAGTAGTAAAATTGTCGCATCACCACTTGATAAGTATCTTTCTGTGTCATCAAGAATTGTAAAAATGCAGCTAAGTGTTAGTCAGGGGGGCTAAAATAAAGAGCAATGCATAGCAAAGGGTGCAATTGTATGTGGACTTTGCCTTTTATCATGTTACTTATTTTAGAGAATAAAGTGCTCTGTGTTTTTGTATATATTTCAGCTATAATGCCTCAAGCAGTTATTCACTTCCAAAGGACACTATTGTGTACACCAGAACATATGAGAATAGGTACCTGAAAAATACACAATGTATTTTTCCCACATGTTTCCCTGTATACTAATTCCAAAAATAACTGTTTAAACATGGCATGTTTAAACGTCAGCAATGTTATTTTTCAGCTACAGCATGCCTAACCTGATATGCCTGGTCTCTTGGCTGCATAATAGGATCACACCATCAGAGTAGGGAGAAATGACCGGAAAAAGAGATTGCTAGTCACAAGTTATGGGCACAGTGCTTGCTTCCAATTCTAGTAAGTTTAGCTTGCCTACTGCTATGCTGGGTTATGTCCCAGGTGCATTTTACATGCACACATGTGTAGATGCACGTACCCATGCATGTAAATACACATGCATGAAAGATGCATGTAAATATAGAAGAAAGAAGATTTATGGAGTGCCGGGTTATGGAGCATACCCTTGCAAGCCAAATGTAGCCAACGAATCAGGTATGTTTGCACACTAAATCTCCTTGTCTTGCTACCAGGCTGAAACGGCAAGTTCAGGCTTGGAGGGAGTTCTAGCATTGGAGGGAACTCTATCAAGTACATAGAGTTCAGCAGGGCAGTTTCTGGCTTGCATTTTGCACACTGTGCGTCTACTCTACATCACACCAAAGGAATGCCATTTATTTTTTAATTAAAACATTTATAATCTCACCTTGCTGAAAAATACTGAAAGCAGCTTAACAGCATCATCATTTAAAACCATTCAATATGTCAAAAATGAGAACTCTGAAACAAAAATAAATCAGTGTAAGTACAACACAGATTCTTTTAATTGAAGGCTGCTCTGGATGTTACTTACACTGATGTGAGCATATGTTAGGGCAGGCTGAGGTGGAAACACTTGGAGGGGAGAAATGATAGCGAAGGCGGACTGGGCACTTCGTTTCTCAACCCATGGCTTCTCTGATCCCAGTCTGCCTTCTGGAAATGGCTTTTCCCTGGACATGGTAGAAATACAAAACAGCTGTATCCAGCTGTTTGGCTGAACGAAAATACCCTTTCTTTAGGACTGCACTAACATGAACAAAATCAATATATTAAGGATTTTAGTCTTGCATGCATTCTAATGTAGTACATTCCTTTTGGGAGGGCTATACTCACACAGTTTCTCATGGAGATGCATTTTTATCGGGTGTTCCCTTCCTCATTGTGACCGCTGCAAAACTTACCATGCCTCAGAAAAGGACGGTGAATTCCAAGATCTAACCAATACATTTGGGTTAGATGTGGAGTACTCCAGGCTTACAAATGTTTGAGTGTTCGTAAATTTAATCTGTCAGCAAAGTCCACTTGCAAGTAAGCCTGGTTAAATAGTAAGGGCACAGTCCAGCCAAAGCGGGAGCCCTAAGCATTTAAAATATCATTATCCAAAGATTATCCTGGTATTCTCTAAAGTACCATTCAGAAAGAAAGGAAGGAAGGAAGGAAGGAAGGAAGGAAGGAAGGAAGGAAGGAAGGAAGGATCACTGGGGCACAGAAATATGAAAATGAGACTTTATTCACATTTTGCTATCCCATTTAATAGTTTCCAGGAGGGTAGCTGTGTTATTCTGTTGCAGCAAAAACAACATCAAGTATTGTGGCCATTTAATGGATAACAATGTGTTATGATGTAGGTTTTTAGCATGTCTTTTCTCTCTGACCTCATCTCCACCACAACTGGGTCTCTATATACACGTGATTCAGGACAAAACTTCAAAGTTTATGCAATAATAAATTTCTTAGTCCTTAAGGTGCCACAATACTCATCATTTAAACTTCCATCTTTGCACAAGGATCTTTATAACTACACCAGTGTAAACAGTTACCACAATTCCTGTCTCTTGCCTTTTCCCTTTCTGGCAGTACAAACAGAAGACTTTTGAAATACCCCTTTATGTGAGTGTATAAGAAGGTTATTCTCAGTAATATTCCTTCCAGTTTGCAGGAGCAGCACTTGCCCATGTGAAGAGTTGGTTCCAAACAGAAGACCCTCTCCTCCTTTCCTTTCCCAAAAAACTTGACTCCACCCTCAGGGAGGTTTGTGCTGCTGAGGCCCTTCTCCTGAGACCCTCCCTGTTCTAAAGTGTCCCCCCTGTACCTGTGTCTGTCTGACAAATTTTGCTTATTAACCTCGACATTCGTTGCCACATTCCAACCCCTCTCTGTCCAGTTCACATTTCCTGTCCAAGCTGCCTAAATGGAAATGCTGTGCTGTGAAAGAAACACGCCCCATCTCCGCAGTGACTTATTTCTGACCTTCCCATAGATTCCCAAAGTAATAATACACTGTATTCTAATATATAATGTAACACATCTTGTGTCTTACCTTTGTCTGTATTTTGCTGAATGTTTTTCAGTTATGTCAACATCAGTATCTGATAATATTATGTGTTTGTTATTCCAGAGGTCAGTTGCTTCTAAAAATATAATGTGTTTAAGATAAAAACCTCCTGCGAGCAATTCTCTTTTGCACAAGGCCAACTGAAATTAATAGGAGCTGTGCAAAAGAAGTGTTGGTGCCCTTGTTGCAATGCAACCTTTGACTTTTCTCTCATCAGTTTTCAGGACTTTTTAAAGAGCCACTTTAAATGGGCTGCATATATCTGCAGTCTGCCCTTGGGTTTGCCTGGATGGCTCTAATGTTGATGGATGGCGTGGTCTCTTCTTTGAAGTGCCAACCTGATGGGTAAAGATTATTGTTCATCACTTTACACATATTCTTTGCATTGCAGCCGAATCCCCCATGATGCTTATGAAGACAACATCTCTAGAAAATCTATTAAAACAGTTTACTCTACTTCTGACAGGTAGGTGGACAAGAGGGGGGGGGGGGAAGCAAAAGGGAAGATGCAAAATGTGAAGAAGTATCTCATCAAGTTCCTGCCCCCTGCATCCCCACCCACAAGTTATTTGCATTCAGATTCCTCCCAGGTTCACATGTGCACATATTGCTCTCAGCGTTTCCGCCCTTTTCTTTATAGTTAATGGACAGCTGTTGAATGAGTGGACTGGCTTCACTGAGCAAGTCTGCCCTTGAGCTGATGACGGCTGAAAGGGGACTTGCACTTGTGGCGTCAGATTTCTGTTGGGCCCTTCATGCGCTGGAGCTGCCATTGGCTGTCCCTGCTTGTGCGGCGCTGAATGATGGAGGGGCCAGGCTTTTGCCAGGTTTGCTGCTGGGGTGAAACTGACACAGGGCCGAGTCCCCTTTTGTCCGAGGTGGCTCAGTCGCACTTCGCCAACTATTTCTTTAGCAAGTCCTGCCAATGTCGCACCTAAAAGCTGGCCACTTTGCCCCTCCTTTTTTAAAAAGAGGAAAGCAAGCACAGTAAGCTGTACCTCCTACTGGGGGGGGGGGGATGTATTTCTCCCCAGGCTGCCTGCTTTTAAACCAGGACTTGCAGGCTTACCTTGCACAGAGAAAAATGCAGTAATGGTTTTTTCAGAACTGACCAACTGGATAAGCCGTACATTTCTCCTTCCTTTCTGCTTGCAAACGAGCACCCAAAGCGACGCTTGCCTCAATGGTATGTTCATGGTTCTGCAGGCTGTCCTGAGATGCTTTTGCGTATAGGATGGGGTGTAAATGTTTTAAATAAATACATACATATTTTAAAACATTCTCTAGCCACAAATTGACATGGTGCTTATCCATACTTTGGGCACTTACTGTAGCTGAATGAATGGGAACTATACAGGATTGCTCCATGCTATGGCTCTGCGGTCCCCATTCATTCCCATGGCGGCCTGCCCTGGGACATTCCTGGGAGGATTGTGCCTTCAGATGCCTCGGCAATGCCGCAGACCCTCTCTTTGCAGGCGGAGCGATGGCAGGAAGCCACAGCGCGTCGCGAGCACGACAGTGTGATGATACTTGTGCCGTTCCTCGTGGGTGAAGGTCCCATGAGTTCCTTTCCTTCTGGTATAATGCATGCTACAAATTCGGTTCTTCCCTAGGGCTGTTATCGAAAAAGAAATGTGCACTTACTGCCGGAAGCCCTTGGGCACAGACACGAAGATGATTCTCGATGCCTTGCAGATTTGCTGCCATGCAACTTGTTTCAAGGTGGGAATGTGTTTTTGTCCGTGACCATAAAATAGTCATAAATATCTGTTACTGAAGTGGTGAACTATTGGTACTTAATCTGACCCTGAAAATACGTTACGCTCACAGTGACTGCATTCTGTGCATATCCTCATAGTGACTCTCTAGCGTATCCCTCTTCCTTCCCCTCTCATCCGCTGATGTGGCAATTGGGGAGTTTAGAAACACGTCCTACCATTTCCACTAAACGTACTTCGCCATTTGTGTATGCAAAGCATTAGCTTCAATTCCTGCCATCTCCAGCCAAAAGATTTCACGTAGCAGGAAATCCTGCTGAAACCATGAAAAATGCTGGGTTAGATAAACCAATAGCCTGGCTCAATGTAAGGAAACTTCCTGTGCAAACAGGTACCGTGCGTTGGCATCATTCTGCCATTTTCTGTTATTCTGTACTCCAAGAAAGCGCCATTGATTTCATTTGGCTCAAGTGCCTTTGACTCCCTCTAGGATGGCAGCCTTCCCTGGAAACTTCACCCTGAGATAATTCCAGCATCCCGATGAAGCACACTATATCCTAGGTCGAGATGGCATTTCTTATGGCCTAAGTGTGCGGTGTGGCTGGTCTATTCTAGCTTTGTTTCACTTCTCTTTCCACAGCGCCATCTCCTGCCCAGTGTGCCCTGGGTATGGGAGAGAAAAATCAAGAGTAGTTGCCTGCAGTGAGAGCATAGCTTCACAATTTGCAGGACAAACGTAGCAACAACCAGTCGCGTGGCGTTCTGCCGTCAGCCGCGCTTCCCCCAGCCCAGATGCTTCAAGCAGGCTTCCAAACTGCTGCACTGACACTGCCTTTCAGGTGCATTCCCATGGCAACTCAGCCAGCTAACTGACCAGGTCCACATCCGCTTCCTTCACTTTGACCATGACCAAGAATTCACTAGGCTGCTATCCTAATGTTGCTTCCTTGATGGAACTGATCCGTCTAGCATTTGGTCTTCTTCTGCCTTTGACTTTCCTGGCATGACGGTCTTCAATTTGGTCATCTTTGCTTCCGGAGATTTTAGCCAGCTCTGTCAAATGGGAAGTGAACAGCAGCGGAGGTATTGTGTGTTTTACACCAAAGAAAGTAGCACATTAAACATGACTGAGCATTATGTGCTTTCCTGTTTGATCGGCTTTTCATAACTAAAGATTTATGCTTATCTCTCTTGGTGTTTCAAGTGCGAAGTCTGCAAAGGTCCTTTGGAAGAGCTGAAGGCAGGAGACAGCATCTGGATTTACAAGAATACAGTGCACTGCTCACCGTGCTATTCGGACGTGAAAGGTAATGTTTCTTGAGCCCCTCTTCTTGTGGCTTAAGTTGTTCCGAATTAGGGAGCCAACCAGCTTGCTGGGCTCGATCCAAAGTTAGTCATTCTTAGAGCAGACACACTGAAGCCACTGGGGCTTGAATTAATCATGACTAATTTAGATCCCACCGATTTCCGTGATTCTGCTCCAAGCATGATCAAGTCTGGAATTATCAGTGTTCATACTGTGGACCTATCTTTTTTATTTTATTCAGAATATATTTCAGGTGCTATTGCTTTAAAAAGATACTTTAGAAAGTCACACACCTTCTGCTACCAAGTTTCTAAATTGTCCTTTTTCTTTCTCCTTCCAGCTTCATGGGTCTACTAATTTTTACTGAAGCCCAATCAAGTATAATCTCAGATGATCAGCTGCATGCATTTATCTTTGAAAATCATATGCTTTTTACATTTTAGGCTGAGTGAAGTATTTTAAGAATCACAAACAGTAGAACTGGAAGAGATGTGAAAACAGAAATGATGTGGAATCTCTAAAAGGAAGATAATAGAGGAAGGCGTGTGCCTAGAAATATCTGCATTGTCAGTGAGAAATGTCTAATGGTGCGATCCACATTTATCTAAGAGTAAATACCACTGCGCACAGTGGGACTTACCCCTGAGTAAACATACATTCATTCATAGGGCTGCACTAAAAAGTCCATCCTGCAAGCACTTAGTTTCCTGTATGTCAATCAGAAACTTTCCAAGGATCAGGATCCTACTTTAAGTCTGTGTTATATATTTTAAAACTTGAGGTTTTACAGTGGTCAGATATAATTATAAATGTCTGTGCACTTCTGCCTTTCTTCTGGCCATGTGCAAGCAGCTTAGCATCATTGGTGGTTAGGAGTGTGTAGGAATGTCCTTGATATGGAGAAAGATGTCAGAAACAGAGGTCTAAAAACAAAATTAAAATGTAAGACAATGACTGCATTCCTGTGTCACAATAGAGCAATTTAGGGTGATAAGAAGGAGTTGCAGCGAGCGTCAAACTTAGATGCTTCCAACCAGCCCACCAGATCCTCTGTCTGGTTGATCGTGAGAAGTTTTGGAGCTTCCCCTTCCGTTTTCTTGTTGCTGTTGACCTCAGCTTGTTGGTTCAGTAGAACCTGAGAAGCTGTGTTTAACTGCAACAACTGTTTCTTTGAAATATGCCCACCTCAAACCATTGGTTGTGAACTGGCTAGTTAAGATTAACCACAGTTTAGAGTGCAAAAGTAACACCAAACTGCAGTTAATTGAAAAAATAAATAAAGCAAAAGCTTCTTATCTCTTTGAAGCAGCATTGTAGGAGTGGTGTTCATGGCCTGCTCACAAGCCCAAGGCTGACTGCAATTTATATCTGTCCTAAGCACAATTCAGGAAATAATGGCTCAGGGTGCAATTCGACCCGCCCCCTCTGAACACGACTCTCTAAATCGGAAGCTTATGTACATCCAGTGCCCCGAATGATGCGCAGCACCCTGCTCTGTGCCACCGCTGTGCCTCACACCCCTTGTTACATTTAGACAGCCATTTTTAGCCATCTAGATCAAGTGCTGAGGAGGGGGAAGGAAAGCAGCTGAGGCACCAATAGGAATCGGTCGAGGTCCCCGGCCTCCGTCCCCTCCCTCCCCTGGCATGCCCCCTTTTCCTCCTCCAAGACCATGTGCCACCTTGGGGGGTGGCAAGGGGCAGCCAGTGCCATTTTTTTATGTTTATTTTTTGCTCTGGCTGGGAGGAGTGTGGGGCAGGAGCTCTGTCTTTGGAGTGCCAGTTCCAAGCTCCCTGAATCTCGGACTGGGGCTGCAAAGACTTGTATGCCTCCCAAAGATTCCTGGGAAGCTGTGGGATGCAATGACCCTGGAGCCAGTGTGACACTAGAAAAACAAGGCCCCGCTGCCTAGCACTGTATTGCTTGCTTGGACTCTCATCTCTCTATTGTTGTAACAAATGAATCGTTCCCCTCTTGGGTCTTTGCAATAAATGGCTGATTGATTGAGTGGGACGAGGGGCAGTTCATTTTGCAAAGAAGGCAAAGCATTTTAGCCGGTACTTAAACAGGCTTCTAACTGGTGGTCATGTGGAGATGTTTTTGGAGCTGTCGGTTGCCAGTGGGGTGGGAGGGAAGATAGGTAGGGCTTCTCTTTTAAAGAATAGGCCTAAATGCTCAGACTGCAGAAAAATGCAGTTTAATGGGATACCTTATTCTGTTTACCCTGGGGATGGAAACTTCCAACCCATGAACCAGTTTGGGCAGCTAGGACAGGAACCCTCTGACATACCACCATTTCTGCATGGCCCTCATCTTCTCTTGCCTCAGGAAACAGGTAAAGGAGCAAAGGATGGAGAAGCCGCCCAGTGCCCCCCAGACTGTTGCATTGGGAGCCCCTCCTCTGGAAGCAGCCCAGTCCAAGACCCCCTAACTCAGGCTGCAGATTGCCCCGATGCCTTCCTCCCTGACCAAATCCCGTACCCAGTTGCACGTGGAAGCTGCTCGCACCATGAAATCACTTGCAGATTGGCTGCACTTTTAAGCATCCAACATCTAAAATAAACCAGTGCACATTGTTCATCCATTAAGACCCAAGTTAGAAATGGACACCCTGCCTCTGATGCGAACTTTCATTTTTGCAGACCCTTCAGCCCCAGGCTTAGCTAAACCTTTGTGGCAGAATCTCTGCTTCTCATATCCTGCTTTCCAAATACGTTATCAAGGAAGCTACAGCAACATAGTAAATGCACTCAAGAACCAATACTTTAAAATAAGCTGTGTCTCTAGAGCGTGGCCCACCCATGGACAGAGCAACCGATGACTCCTTCAAACCACGAGCATGCCAAGCAGGGGCCATGTCTTGAGGGTTGGCTCCATGTACTCTACAGCTCCACCGGTCCTCACCCCCACCCAGCACCTGCACATTGAAGGCTACACACATTGGCTTCCATGTGAGCCAAGTGCTCCAGTTCATGGGAAGGCATTTGCCATGCCATCGGCCTTCCTGGATTCATGGGATTTTACGGTGTGGGAGTGGCAAAGACGGTGCAGCTCTTCCGTCTTATCTTGATTAATGGGGCTTTTGCACAATGAGAAAAAAGAGGCAGTAGGAAAATACAGGATGATTGTGAGTGCACCCTCATAAAGTTTTGTGAATCCTGTGAATTCTGAGTCCTTCTTCCAGATTTCTTTGCCTCCAGGCAGATCAGCAGCCAGCCAGCCAGCCAGCCAGGTGACCCCAGTGCATTCCTTCTCAGAGCTCCCTCCCAGTTTTCTTTCCTACGTGACTCTCACATGCTATGGCTACTGATCATGCTTGGAACTCACTGGGCTGTTTTGCGCAAAGAAATCTTTGCAACTTCTGCCATCCTGGAAGGCCCCCATGCCTGCTGATGCTTCCCTCTTGTGTGTGGCTGCCCAGCCTTCGTTAGAATCAGCGTTCCAACAAGGAGTTCAGTATTACTACGAGTGGTGCAAACTGCTGTTCAGAGCAGCCGCTGCGTAACTATAACTGCAAACAGTAAATCTGGGACTATTTTGAAAGAGTTGACTGAAGATCAAACCAGACACGATATGGGGGGGATTTCATATTTCTTTTTAACACACAAAGCAGGGACCCGGGGTTCTGATATTTATTTATTCACATGCTTCTTTACCACTCTACATCAGTAAAATATCTGAAGGGCAAGACATAAAAAGGAAACAAGAGCAACAGAGTTTGACAGATGTTGCCTGTTTGACTTGCTTGCATAAGTCAGTCTTTGGGAGGCATCAAAGCCAGAAGGCCGCTGGTGACTCCCTGGCACAGAGAAGCCTCTGATACATGGATGGCTTCACTCCAAAGGGCTCCTCATGGACCGCAGGCCTTTGCAGAAGCACCTCATCTGCTGACCTGCTTGACTGCGCGGGCTGGCAAGGGCGAAAGCGCTCCTGCAAATACCTGAAGGCGCGCAGGAGTGAGCATGGCTGAGACTTTATTTCTTCCAGGCAAGACTGCAGCTCACTCCCAAGCCAGAAGAAAGCGCCTTGGGTGGCTGATGACGGGAAGGTGCTTCAAGGGAAGGTCCAGCTCCACTCAGAATTAAACCATCCCCTCCACAACCTGTGTTATATGTGAATGAGGCAGACATGTTGCCTTTCCTTGTCCCATTGTTTATTCCTTTGCCTGATTTGTCTCATGTTAATAATATTTCTATAGTAATTATGAAGCCTAAATCCTCTTAAAATACACAGCTTTCTTCAGTCTCATCTTGAAAACACCCAGATGAGCTTCTCCAGCCTACTGAATCCTAATTTCAAACAGAAGAAATCTTATTTCAGAATCTTAATGAATGTACATTATGGAAGATATCTGGATCCAGCTTTTCCACCAGATCATCGAGAAAGGACAGGAGTTCCCTCACCCATCATACCACTCAGAAACCAAATGGAGCATCCAGCATGTAGCTTTTAATTCAGGACCATCTGTACAGTGAATGGGCTGTGGCTCTTTCCATGAGAACACAGCAAGGCACGAACAATAAGACTAGTTCACATGTTCCCTCTTTCATCCTAGCCAAGCAGCTGCACCGATTGTCTCGTGTGCTTTATTGCACTTTTTATAGGTTTTGCAAAGAGTGAGCCAAAAAAGAAGGGAAGCTTTTATGGATTCTGGAATGCATTGCACAAAAAATGACCGCAATCTCATATTCCTAAAAGAAAGATAAATTGGGACTGATGTGAAAAGACACATACCAAAGAAAGGGGCGGGATGGGGGTTACATTCATTTTGCTGGAGTTGAGAGCCTTATCTCTCTTTAATGACTCCTTCGAAGAAGCATCCAAAGGGAATGTTTTCTGGCAGCTGTCTTAATGAAAGGCTTGTCGTCCATAATGCATTCATTTAGCCACATTGAGGAATGCTGTCATAAATTATAGGGATATTGGTGACTCATCAAATCTATTTTCCAAGCATATAATGGTTGGTTTGGCAATTTGAGGGCACCGTATCCAAAGAAAAGGATCAAGTGGAAGAGAATCAAAACCATGTTTTGCTACTTTCTCCTCATCTAGGTTTCCTATGGAGAGGTGGGGAGATCCATTGGCTTGATGGTACTAAAAAGTGAAAGCATCTTTCTGTAATGAGCAAACCTTCATGCTGGTGTTGGCAATCCAGTTGTACTCCACACAAGGTTTTGTGTTCTGCAGCCCCAACATAATTACCTTTGGTTTACATTTTATTATTAAATTTATCTATTGCTCAACTGGCAGATGCCCTCAAGGTCATTTGCAGTCATAAATCTCCCCACAACCAAATTGCAATTGCAAATTAAATTGCAACCAAAGCAATAAACACAACAATGGTGATATTTAAATGTTAAGAGTATTAAAATATTAAAGCTCCAGCAATCATTTCAATAACCAGAACAGCAGCTTAAAGGTTAAGTGTC